TTGTTGTTGTTGTTGTTGTTGTTGTTGTTGTTGTTGTTTGTTTGTGTTGGTGTTGTTGTTGGTGTTGGTGTTTGTTGTGTTGTTGGTGTTGTTGTTGTTGTTGTTGTTGTTGTTGTTGTTGTTGTTGTTGTTGTTGTTGTTGTTGTTGTTGTTGTTGTTGTTGTTGTTGTTGTTGTTGTTGTTGTTGTTGTTGTTGTTGTTGTTGTTGTTGTTGTTGTTGTTGTTGTTGTTGTTGTTGTTGTTGTTGTTGTTCGTTGTCGTTGTCGTTGTCGTTGTCGTTGTCGTTGTCGTTGTCGTTGTCGTTGTCGTTGTCGTTGTCGTTGTCGTTGTCGTTGTCGTTGTCGTTGTCGTTGTCGTTGTCGTTGTCGTTGTCGTTGTCGTTGTCGTTGTCGTTGTCGTTGTTGTTGTTGTTGTTGTTGTTGTTGTTGTTGTTGTGGTCGTGGTCGTCGTCGTCGTCGTTGTTGTCGTTGTCGTCGTTGTCCTTGTCCTTGTCCTTCTCCTTGTCGTTGTCGTTGTTGTCGGTTGTCGGTTGTGGCGGTGCTGGTGCTGGCGGTCCTCTGACTGGTCATGGTGCTGTTGTTGGTGATTGGTGCTGGTGGTCGCAGTCTATGCGATATGTCTTTAAGTCATGAGTTGCTCATGTTTTACCTGGTGGCCTTGCGGGGAAATCAGCCAACGGGGCAAGCGCAACGGTTTTCTCCCAGTGCTGCGGGTGTTGTTTCTGCAAGGATTGGAATGTTCCGCAAGCCCTCCCAGCGCCTGATCTCGGCCTTTCACAACAGCATGCACACCTCCTGGCTCTGCGACTCGATCCACAGCTCCGTTCGCTCGGTTTTTGGTTGGCAGTTCGATTCCACAGCTCCAAGACCGTGGGGTACGGGTGTTGACCCCGGGTAAAAGGACAGTTTTCTGTTGGCTCCCGTTTTCAGACACAGGGGCGCCCGAAACAAGCGCAACCCTGTTCTTCAGAGTTGTGAGTCCAGGACGAGAAAATGATTGTGCGATTCTTTTGGCCGGTGACCGATTCCACTGGTTCCGCTTGGGGGTCCAGTTCTCATTTACTGGGAAGTCTTTTGGAGAGGTTCGAGGTTCGGGTCTGGGAATTACTTTACTGTTGAAGGCGAAGCTTCACCGAATAGATGGGGCAGAAACTGAGGTCGTGTTGGTTCCTTGCACTTCACTAATTGCACGTTGTTCATCATTTTGAAATTGGGAATACTTGGCACTCAACTCGTTGAGTTGTGTGTTTTGCTTTGTTCGCAGTGACTTTGCAGACTTGGTGACTCTGCAGACAGGCTCACCAAACGTCACTCGATAGGAATCCTTCGGGACGCCCCCTTCTTTTGGTCGTTGAGTTCCGGTCTGCCTCAAAAGGTGAACCTGGGCCTTACCTCGGTTCCCGGTAAGGCTGGGTGGATGAAGGTTAAGGGATATTCCCAACCATCAAAGGTGCCTTCGCCGCCTTCTTTATTCTTTACATGGTTTTCGGCTGCCAGGCAACCCATCACCTGATTCACGATCAAAACCCGGGCAGATGAAGGTAAGGGACAATCCCCTTGCCATAAATAGCTGCGGAATTCCGCCTTCTTAATTCTTTTCATGGCTCTGGGATTACGACCATTTTAATACCGGGTTTTGATTATGACTCACCTTGGGTTATCTTCCCCTTCACAGTGGCTTCCCTATGGCGGGGTATGGAAAACCGGATTGGCCAAGCCATTCTGCACAGCCCATTTTGGGCCCAAAAGCTGCCCAGACTGAGGTGAAGAAGACCGCCATGAACTGGTGGCTGCCTGATTGCATTAAGCCACTATATTATACTGATTATTGTGGAGCAACCTGTAGTTGTTGTGGAAAAGGTATGTTTTATTGGTTTGGGGGGGTTGGGCCTACCATTAATATATATATATATGCCTGGACTCACCAGAAGCATGGACCTGTCCGTACTCTTGCCCGAAAAACAACAAGTCAATGCACCCCGGGGCTCCGTGGTTCTGCAAGGTTTTGGGGGTTGCTGGGGGAGTGGACCCGAGAATTAGCCAGGACCTCTTTTGTTAAAGGCAAGCCAAACGGAAAACCACATGTTTTTGAATTTGTTTTTGTGTGTGGTGTTGAAAAGGGAAGCCATAAGGAAAATCACATGTGTTTGAGTTGGTACCTGTTGTTGTGGGGTTTTAAAAGGGAAACCAAAAGGACAACCGCATGTTCTTGTCTTTTTCCTGTGGTGTTTTTGAGTTGTTTTTTTGGTGTGCTGTTTTTGAAGGGACACCAAAAGGAAACACACATGATTTTGAGTTGGTACGATTTTTGTTGTGCACGATTTTTGTTGTGGTGTTTGTTGTTTCTTTCAGTGGAAATTCGGCATGAGGTTGAATCCTGTGTGTTTTGCCTGGGCTGACCACTCACTGCCCAGACCTAGGTTGGGTTTCCATCGTTTTACCCCCATACTCCAAATACCCGCTTTTGTAAGGGTATATTTGGAAGAACCTGGTTTTCCGGAGTGAACGCCTCCTTCATTGATAAATAGTTGACACGATACCCCAAAACCAGAAGGGTATTTGGAGTACCGTAGCAAAACTTGCAGCAGGGGGTCCAAGTCTAGTTGCACCAACTCTCGAATCCCTAATGGAGGACTTGCCTAAGGCTGCCTGAGGAACCCTAAAAGAGCCTCAAAACCCTTTCAGCACCCCGAAGCAGGCTCTCAACTTCGCTCCGTGCAAAGTACCGCCGGATCCATCAGCCAAGGAGAGCTAAACTTGTAGTTTCTCATGGAGGGGAGCACTTGCCGGAGTTTGCTAGGAACCCTAAAAGACCCTAAAAACCCCAAGGAGCCCGAAACGGGCGCTCAAGTACCCGCATCGGAAATCCCTCGATGGGATTTTGTTAGGAGACCTGCGCGCAACAAAACCACACCCCGGCCTGCTATGCCCGGTTCCCCGGCATCGCGGGCTGCACTGCGCGCATGTTGACCGGCGGCCGGTGCGCGCAGGGCCGCGCCGCGGCAGCGGTTTCGGATCGAACGAGCAATCAAAGCCGGTTTGGGTAGGGTAAGGATACCTGGACCCGAAAGGACAACCTTTCAAAAATGCATTATTGCTCCACATGTTTTTTTGGGAGGGGGGAAGGTGAGACATCCCTTTTTTATGGGTAGTTTGAGGGTCCAGGCACTCGGGTGTTCGTTGCCAAGTTAGTTGGTTTCTTGTTTATATCCTACAGAAAAAAAGTCCCCCGTCCAGTGGAGGTAACCTTGTATTAGGGGGTTATACCACTTACTGTACTGGGCCGAACATCCAAGTAAGGATAGTAAGGGATTATCCCAGCCACAAATGGGTGCGGCCGCCACTGTAATTCCTTAGATGGTCTTGGGTGGACTCTAGACCTTGTTAGTGCCAGGTTTGATTGTGACGTGTTGTTCAAGGCGAATCGACCGGATCAATCGACGTTGTTTTCATCTGAGCTTTTGGTTTTCCATTTATGCTTTATAGTCATGGACCCCAAATGTTAACCTTCGATTTCTGATTCCACAACTGACGAAACGGTCCTTTACATGGGAGGACCAATGGGAAGCCACAAAATATGATAACTTTCGCCACATGAGTGGCGTTGCTTTTCCTGCTCAAGATGAATATTTCTAGAGGGTGGATGTATCAAAAAGGAAGCACCGCACTGCAGCCGCGAAAGTTTGCGGAAGCTTGTTGTCTCGTGGAAGCTCGTAGAAGGGACGTGGTTGATTTGCACTTTCCACTACATTACTCGCAAATCGTGCACACGACTTCCCTCGCGGAAGCGACACCTTGCTCAATTTCCGGAAACCACGGAAAACCCGCAGAAGGCCCGCGGAGCACTAGAAACATGCTCGCGGAAAGCACACATCACACAGCTTCGCGGAAGGTTCGAGGTGGGGGCCCATTCATTCAAATTTAAAGGCTCACATGAAGTGACCCATGGTCATTTTGGCGCCGAACTGAATATTGATCAACCCATTGTGGACCAAATGGACGGCAGTCGGAAAGTTTTGGAAAGACCTCTTTAGTACCAGGTGTTGATTGTGATTCAGCTTTGGGCCCGTTTTCGACATACGGGCGCAAAAGAAGATTCTACTTGTTTGGAGGCATTTGCTTTCTGTCCATCGTTTGTCGCAGTCTCATGCGAGGGCAAACTGGTCAGTTCCGTTTCGAAGCCATCTTAAGTGGGTTCCACTGTTTGACAACGCAGGCACCCAGGGCTTCATTCCGAGAAGGAATTCTTCCGGGTTTCTGCGTCGGTCAAACAGTGGATCCATCCAAAAGTGGCACGGTTTTTCCCCCAAATGCGATTGCAGCCAAACAAAACTCCAAGGGACATCACTGAATGTGTGAAATTGTTGTTTGGAGCTGGCATCCCGCCATTTGTGGGATTTCCCGTTGGCTTCGAGCGGAGTGGGATATTTTGAGGGTATCACTGACTTGTAGGATCTGAGGGCGGCCTTTTTCTCCCAAGCTGGCGGGTTGAGGCAGAAGGAAAACCCATTGGAAGGTCCCCCATTCCAAGACAAACATTGAGCTGAGGGGGTATTCCGGAATCCTTCCACCCGAATACTTGGGCGGCTCTCAACTCGGCCTATTTGGCTGCGGGTCGAAAATAAACCTGGTAAATGGAACCCTGGCAAATGGAACTAAAGACTAACACCTGCGGTCCCCTGGGGGTTTAATGTGGACCCATACCCATTTGCTGAATCTCGTTTAGTGCCTTTTCTTGTTTGCGTCCCCGAAAAATTGGAACCACACAAAAAAACAAATGGCCCCAAGTGGCGGGTCACGAAACTCGCCAAGCAAGGCATGGAGCGTGAAGAGGGCGAGGTGTTTGATGCTGGAGCTTCCAGCCTCAGCCAAGCTTTGCAAATGCTTAAGATGCTCAATTGCAACTGGAGTGACTCAGCATGTTGCTTTTGTCTCAGTTGGGTGTGTGTGTGTGTGTGAGTTTTCCCTATTGGGTGCCATTTTTGGGGTCGTTTTTACAGGGAGATCAAAAGGACAACCCAAGGTCTCAACAGCTATGTCCACCCCCCAAACAAGGAGAGCCCCCCTTGGAGGTCCTTTTCCTTTTCCATGTTAGCAGCACGGAACATTGGGGGCTCCCTTCTGGTAGAGGGTCCCAATCACAAGGGCGTGCGTCAAAAGATTTGGCCTCGAGCGCATTTTGGCTAAACGAGCGCTTTTGGGAGAAACGGGCACTTTTTCCCTCGAGCGGAAATGTGGTGCTCGTTTGGGGGTCCAGCATGGATTTACCGGGTCGTTCTGTTGGTGTCCATTTAAACCCACCTGAAAACGGGGCCTGCGTCGCCTCGAGGAAGATGGCCTTTGTCGGCATGACCGAGCAGTGGGATCTCTCCATCTGCCTCTTTCATCGCATGCTGCTTGCCTTGGCATAGCTACGTCTCCATGACCATGGGTGCCCTTAGGTTGGTTTGAGAAGAGTTTGAGATGGGCAAGCCACAGGTTTAGAGTGGCTTTCCATTTTGGGTCATCTATTTTGATAAAGGACGCCTGTGTCCACGACCCTTCAAACATAGATTCATGACCCCGTTCTTTTGCTGGTAAGCCCATGCTTAAAGGGTCACAATGAGACTGCAGATAGACTTTTTTGGTGACGTTCAAAATCTGCCGAGCTGTATGGGGGATCATTGTAAAAGCGGGTAGAAGCCAATCATATTTGCAGAAGCAACAGGTGAGCAGGTTGTTTGAAGGCTCTTGTGTTCATTTCCGACACTTGCCAATGCGGGCTTGGTGCGTCTAAGACCTGTCCATCTCGAGAACTTTACCGGGTCCAACGTTGCCATGAAATTTTCGTGGTTTGGGTGGTCCTTCCTTTGGTTTTCTGAAAGGGGTAGCCTCACCAAAGGGTACCCCAAAAGTCTGATTGGGTTCTGATTGGGTCCATACTCAGTCAAGGTTGTGATACGGTTTAACCTTGTATTTCTGGATCCTTTAGGCAAGTGAGAAGTACATACCCACATACCCATACTGTGGATGGACGAAATCCTGCACCACTTTGAAACCATGAGAAACCATTGTTTGTGAGTATTTACAGAGGAATCATCATTCCAGGGTTTCTTAGGTGGTGCAGGATTTTGTCCATCCACAGTATTTGAAAATCCATGTTTAGTTGACCTTTCGAGGGCAGATTGCTGAGGTTCGGCGGCAATGTCAGTGCTTCGCAGTTGGTGGACATTCATACCTTCCGCGGCGACCACGAGGGCTACGACGAACCCTGGCGCCAAAACGAAAATGTTCGTGTTTGTTTGACTTTTACCCCCTACTACAAATACCTCGCGCTTTTTGCGTTTCATGTCAACCCTCTACTGAAAAAGGAGGTATGGTTGCCAGGTAAAACCAGGTGTTTCCACAAAAAATACCACCTTAAACAAGAGGGTAGTTGGACTAGGGTGTGTGCGTGTTGTCTTGGTTCACTGTCTCCTCGCTGGCCCTTGGACGATTTTCCTGGGACCTTGGAAGGTCTTCCATGAGGGTGGCTGCCATGCACCCCTGGGGGCGATAGGGGGGCTATGGAGAACCTTGGAGCCAAGGATAAGCCCAGGGGTTAATATGGGCGTCACCCTTCCCCCCCCCCCCCCCCGCACTCATAACTTTTAGGGGTCCATGACCATGACATTCTTTAGGCAAAGGCTCATGCCTGCCAGCAAGCCTGCTGCGAATTGTGTGTGTTTGTTTGTCTCTCCCCTCCTCATCACCTTTGGGGGTCACAACGAAGGGATCCATGGGCTTCTTTAGCGAAGGATGCATGCCCGTGCTGCTACTGGTTTGTTTTTTCGTCTCTAAGGGGCTGGGATTATATGGCCATGGGTCCAAAGGTCGTACCCCAGGTGAACATCCGCACTAAATTAGGTTCTAACATGGTTGGTGAATTCGATCCATGGGCTTCTTAGCCAAGGATGCCCCGTGCTGCTACTGCTTTGTTTTTTCCGTCTCTAAGGGGCTGGGATTATATGGCCATGGGTCCAAAGGTCGTAATCTCAGTGAACATTCGCTCTACAAATGGGTTCTAACATGGTTGGTGAATTCACCGAAAAACCAACCAAACTGGGATCAAGAAAACACGATTTTGACCACCACCCACTAAAATCGGTTCTAAAACAGCCGTTTTGGCGTTTCAGGAGTCGGTCTTGGAGGGCTTTGTGGACCACGTGGACGAGCAGATCTACGAAGCGGCGAGCCGCCGCTTCAACCAGCTGCTCCAAGAGCACGTCGGATCTGATCTCTCCGTGTGCGGCGGAATTATGAAGCTCAGCAAGGCTTACGTACCTTTCTATCAGGGAAACCAACTAGCAGGGATGCAGGGGGAACCAGCGGGAGGATTCCCAAATGCACCTTGGCTGAGTTTGATATGGGAAATGGCGCCAAGGGAATCCCCCCATATCCCCGCTCCCTCCCTATCCCCGCTTGTTTGTTTGTCCAATTTCTAGACGTGCCTTTTTTTTTGGCGCCGTGGTTTGGCGATGAATTTCAAGAAAGGACTGTTTGGTGGACATCATTTAGGTGGGGATTCATGTCCATCCATCACTTTTAGGTGGGTCCCTAGCCTTTTCGCATGATTTTCTCATCAGCCAGCAATAAAACATGTTTTTTGCCGGACATCCTTTGGTCATGCAGCATGGGCATTTTAGCTTCCATTTGCTGAATAATATGGTTGATTTTCCCCAGTTGGGGGACTCGGACATATGCTTGCTTTTTCCAGTGGACTTCAGCAAATGGAAACAGGGTTGTGGGATTACTCGGGGCTTTTGAAGGAAATCTCCCCTTTTATATAAGGAGGACAGTCTTTGGGAAGCCCTTTCTGTTGTATCACGGAGTTGTCATTGTCCACAGCCCTGTCCCAAAGTTTCAACCGTTTAATTGTAAACGCTTCGCGTTGCCCGCCTCGGCCCAGCCTAGTTTGAGGGAAGGGTCAGGAACACCGAAATCCAGTGTTGGGAAGGTCCGAATCCTACTGAAAGCTTGTGACCGCACCAGTTCGCCCGTGCTAGTTCGATGTTCGGAAGCCGGAAGGTTTGAAATCCAAAACCAAGACTATCTCAGCTGCTCAGTGCCCTTGGAAAAAAAAGGACCTCTTTCTGGGGATGAGCATTTTTAGTGGGGCTTGGCCTCCAAAAAAAGGGGAACAATAATTGGTGTCACTGAACAACCAAGACCAACTTTGGGTGTTTGGGCACCTCCATTTCACGTGGCTGGCGGCTTGCCATGACATACATTTCTTGCTCGGTTGCTCAGCCCAAGACAGGTACATGGTGGGAATACAAACCTCCATTTGCTTAAGTACCCCGGAAAAATATCCTCAATAGTGATAGTTTCCCTGTAAAACCAACAGGGGGACATAAAGAATATTCATTTCAGCAAGGATTCATCTAAACACACATCCTTCGGTCCTTCAGGATGAGAACCGCAACAAAAAACCTACCTACCTCGCGCGGGTTGCTGGTTGGGCTGGGCCTGAAGCTGGCTCCAGACAAGTCAGACAAGCCGGCCTCGCCTGGTTGGGCTGGGCCACAGGCTAGTCTCAGACACATCAGATAAGCCTGCGCTGGGCCTGAAGCTAGTCTCGGGCAGCGCTGGACCTTGCTTGCGTGGGTTGTTGGTTGAGCTGGGCCTGAAGCTAGTTTACGGCGGGCTGGGCAGCCGCACTGAGGGGGCTGGGCTATGGCTGGGCTGGGCCTGAGGCCAGTTTCAGACACGTCAGACAGGCCTGGCCAGCAGGCGGACAGGGCTGGGCTAGACGTTAGTTGAGCTCAGCCTGACACTAGTGAGGCCCAGTCTCGGCGCTAGATAGGCTGAGGCCTGCGAGTCTCAAACAGGGTGGGCTTGGGTGGGGTTTGCTTAGGCGGGTTGCTGGATGGGCTGGGCCTGAAGCTAGTCTCAGCCACGAGGCTGCGAAGCCATGGGTGGGTGCTGGGCAGCCGGACTACGCTGTTGGTTGCGCCTGGAACTTCGGCTGGGCGGGCTGGGCTGAGCTGTGCTTGGGCGGGTTGCTGGATGGGCAAGGCCTGTCTCATACACACTTGGGCCTGAGGTTGTGTAGCGAGTTGCTGGCTTCGCAGACACGTAAGACACGCCAGCAGGCGGGCTGAGGGACTGGGCCTGAGGCTAGTCTCAGGCTGGCATACCTTGAGACCAGTCTCAGACTGCGCCGAAGGGGCTGGGCCTGTGGGGCCAGACACGAGCAGGAGGTCAAGGCCTGGTCAGCCTGGGCTGGGCAGCCTGGGGTGGCTGGGGCACGTCAGACAGGCTTAGTAGCTGGCGTAGCTTGAGACCAGTCTCAGACACGTGAGACAGGTCGTTGGCCTGAGGCCAGTCTCAGACACGTTAGACAAACCTGACCTTGGCACGGTGCGCTGGGAGCTGGGGGCCGGCCGCGCCGAAGATGACTTGGGGCCAGACGCGAGCAGGAGGTCAAGGCCTGGCCAGCGGGGCTGAGCTGCTTGGGCAGCCGGACTGAGGGGCTGGGGCGTCAGACAGGCTAGGCATAGCTTGAGACCAGTCAGACACGTGAGACTGGTCGTTGGCCGGCTGGGAGCTGGGGGCTGGCCTAGTGGCTGGCATGCCCTGAGATGCGCCGGGGCCGGACTATGCTGCTGGTTGCGCCTGGCGGCCTCGTGGCTGGCATGCCCTGAGATGCGCGGGGCCTGGGCAGGCTGGGCTGGGCAGGCTGGGCTGGGCTTGCTGGATGACTTGGGGGTTGCTGGTTGGCCTGTTTCAGCAATTGTCAGCACATTTTCGACAAAAATGGAATCATGGAGCTGGACGCCGACAAACCCCGAAAATTTCAAGGCCCGCCGGACAGGATTTTGGGCCAGCCGACATGGGTGGGGGGGGCCGGCAAAATTTTGGTTGGGAGGGGGGGTGTTCCCCTAAGTGATGCATAGTGATGCATCCTAAAACTGGACACCTAGTCAACCAGTGTAGCTGGGCCGATTCTCTCAAAGCGAAATCGCCAAACATGATTTTAGGTTGCCATGTTTAATGGGTCGCTTTTCGGGTCCAACCAATTAGGGTCCAGGAGCCCTACCACGAATCGGGGCAGCCCATGTTCATGCGTTCGGGTACCCTAAAAGATATTCATGCATATGTCCTTTCCATTCTTTTCTTTATGTTTACGAGTCCAGCTCCCCGAAGAATTCCTCATGGCTCCTTCCCAATTTTGGGACCTCTGGTCCGCTCAGGGCGTCCCTTCTGGCCACCGAGTCCTGCGGAGTCCTGCGGACTTCCCAGTAGCCCGTCCTACGGTTTTCGCGGCTTCGCCGCGAATCGGATTCCGTCAGGAAGCGCAGTGAGGAGGAGGACGGGCAGACGAGCTCTTCCGAGTCGCTTTTTGGGGCCGAAGACTGGGGTCTAGCTTTCTATTTGGGTGTGGCTCAAAATTAACCAGGAGGGGCAAACCGCAGGTTTTGGTCCATGTTTCCACTTAGCAGGGTTCCATTTGGGTACCGGTTTTTTGAGCCACAGCCATTTCATGAAATAGACCTGCTTCGAAATAAGGACCTGCGAATTCGACCCGCCGACCTGGAAGTTATAATAAGGATTTCTATCGGTGCCCTGTTTGGGGTTTAAGAAGCTTTTGGGCCGTGCCCGGGGGGGGGGGGGCCACCAATTTGGAGACCCATTCCCAGCGGACGACTCTTTGGGCGTGTCCACAGTCACCCAGTTCACCCCATATGGCCATGGTTCAAAACCAACGGTACGATTTTGGGATAGGTGAATTCACCACCCATTTTAGAACCTATTTTAGTGGGGATTGGGATGTTGATTGGGGGTACGGGGTTTTGACCCATGGCCATATGTTTGGGGCAATATCCCAGTTTTAAGGATAGTACGAGAGTCCATGTACTTATAATTATGTCATATGCGGGTTTGATGACTTTTTGCTGGGTCGGAACAGCATTTGCAGGATGCTTTGTAGTATGATCATCCTTTTTGTAAGGCGGGGCATGGAGTTGGCAATTGCTCTGGCGGCGATTCATTTCATCCAATCTTTGGTGCATTTTCGGGGCCACTCCTGTTCGGTCAGTTTTCCCTGCGGAAGTGTCCGCTTAGGGTTTCCCACGAGCTGAAAGATTTTGAACAGCCGTGACTTGGATCATCCGGTGCCGTGTTGGCTTTCTTCCTCCTTGCGGTTTTAAGGGGCCTTGAACACTCACCATGTCTTCAGAGGTTCATTCGCCTTCCATGCCGGGAAATCGATCCATCTCGCGTCAGAACTGGGAGTTTGTTTCCCTACCTAGCCCTTGGCGAGCCATTTCCCAAGGGAGCCGAATCAAGTTTCGGACTTTCGTTTCGCTTTTGTTGGATCCAATCTGCGGTTCCGTGAGCTAACCCACCACTTTGAAGGTGACTTTGGGTAAAATCATGAGGCGAGGGGGTTGTGCGCCGAAAGTGAGGGCGCCCAAACCTGCCATTCGGACTCATGGTAGTCAGGCTTCTACAAACCACTTCCAGTTGCATAAGTTTTGTATTTTCCCCGGTTGGTTTAAAAAACATATCACTGCTGGAAATATTGCAATCTGTTCCTGGAAACTTCCGCAAAAGGGAAGCTGACCGCCATGAGCCCGATGTCTGTGAGCTTCGCTGCTCAAAATCGGGATTGACCTTTTGTTTTTTCCCTTTAGGATTCCTGGACCCTGAAACTTTCCTTCTTGGCCCAAGAATATGGTGTGACATCCCTTCTTTATGGGCTGCTTGAGCGTCCAGGTTCCCATGTTTAGCCATAGGTGATCACCAGATCCGAACTGGGCAACTGAGTGGTTTAGAAGAAGAGGTTCCAAGGCAAGGTGCCTGGAGTCTCCTTTTGACCCAGACCCAAAGATGGGTCCCAAATCAAAGATGGGTGGCCCCAAATTGGGGTCAGCAGGAGACTCCAAGGTCAGTTTGGGGGACCTTAGAAACTTGTGACTCTAGCCGTCCAAACTGGCACTAAATTGGGAAAGCGGGCGGTTTTCGTCAGAGAACGATGAGTTAGAGTGAGGCAAACAAGAATCAAACCCAAAATGAGGTGCGGCCACCTTCGTAGTTCTTTGCATTGGTTTGGGTAGATTATGTTGATACCAGGTTTTGATTGGGACTCGTATGGCTTTGTCTCAAAGGAACCGGTACTCCCCACTTTGGTTGTTCATTGAAACCAACCCGGAAAGGAGAACTTGAATTTTCAGCACACCAGCGGGTATTTGGGAAGCCCCCGCTTTCCTGTAGAATTTCCGGACTAGCTGGATTCTGCCATTTGCTGAAGAATATGTTTTGTTATTTTCCCCTCTTGGTTTCAATCCTAAACGAGACCAACACACACACCCAACCACATTCCTACAGCAGCACACCCAACACAAATCAGCTCCAAGCCAACCCCAAATCCACCCAAAGTCAACCCTAAACCCGCCCAACAGCAGCCTGGATGTCAGCCCTTCGCCTCGCCTGAATCAACCCCAAACCACCCCAAGGCCCACCCTCATGAAGATGTATGCTAAACCAGCCCCCAGCAACTCCCAACTGCCTCCCAATCAGAGCCAATCACCAACCCCCGGGCCAAGTGAGGCTGGTAATGCTGCGGATGTTGCCAACCCTGCGGAAAACCCGGCCCTAGGAAGAACCAGCCCCAAGAAAAAAGGACAACCTCTACCTTGGTTGAAGCAAATGGAGTTTCCAGGATTGAATCAAGCCGAGTGAGTCGCTGGTTTGGTTTCTTTTGAGGAGAAGGCAGACACCTGCTCATGCGAGAGCCAGGGGATGGAGCCACTCGGAAGACTAAACACCATCGAATTTGCTGCAGTCCTCGGGGTTTTTCCCGCTGAAAGCTTTGGGGTTCTCAGCCCAGATAGGCTCCGGGGTGGTTTTCAAACGGCCCTGAGGTCAGGTTCTGCGAGGGTTCCACCAGGGTTCCACCGCATGCTGTTGGGGATATCACCTGAGCTTATGTTTTTTTTTTGCTTGGTGTTTCGTTTGAATCTTGGAATTGAACCCCTGGCTGTCGCAGAGGGGCAATGGATTTGAAACCTACCAAACCATTAATCCAAACCACCAAATAGAGGGAAGCTGATTTGTACCTGAACCCCAAAGAACTACCCAGAAAACATGGGGGTGAGTTCCAACTTTTGTTACGGGTAGTTCGTGCGAGTCCAGGTGTGTCTTTGTTCAGGTAGGTGTCCATTCCTTGGAAGCGAACCTCTTTTGAAGAGTTTTTTTGGGCAGTTCCATACTTGCAGGTGTCTCCCCACTGATGCCAGCCGTCCGGTTCCAGAAAGGTGTTGAGTTGTGCTTCACCTGGGTTTTCATTTTTCGTTCACAAGATTTCGACGTTTCGCCGGGGTCTGAAAACGGACAGCCCAGAAACCGTGTTTGTTTTTGCCACTATGTAAGCTCTAGCATCGCGAGACCTCAAGAAACCTCAAGAAAGACTTGGAGCTTATGGCTTAGCAGGTAGCAACATCCTTCGGGTTGTGTTGCTGTCCCAGATTTTTTGGGAGAAATGGGCTTTGTAGGTACGGAGGCGAGATATGTATATATATATATATATATTGCTGGTATACACTGCTCTCTGATCTTGCATTTCCAACCTTACCTGGAACTGCCCTTGATGATTGACAGGCTTTGGAATTGTAAGCAAACATGCAGATGGCACTCCCATCTAGGTGAAGGAAATGGCGAACCTAAGCTGCCAAAAACCCGGGAAGATGAAGGGAAGTCCCAGCAATTAATGGGTCTGTCTTCTTTTAGGGGACCCTCAAATTGGTTTTGGTTTCCCGTTAAAACCAAGCAAGGGTACCAGCTCACAAAAAAGAAGAGCTGTCCAAGTGTCGAACATTCTTGCAAATGGCAAAAAACGTGTCCGCGTGGCTCCTGCTTCGTGCATGAACCCTCCTCGGTGTTTCCCGTCTTGGACCGCGAAATCTCGATTCGAGGTGCGGTCGCGCCCCGTCCGGCCTGGAGTGCGGCACTTGCCCCACGATTCGCATCAAGGAGCGGAGTCCACCCCCTGGACTTGAGACGAAGCCAAGGCATGGTTGTTGTTGGGAAGCATTTTACATGTTTGCTTATTGTGGTTTAGTGGAAAATCCCCACTTAACTGCTAAACAAAATAATTCTTTGCTCCCCTTCCAACGTCAACCAAGAAGGGAAGGCCAACCCAAAGTTTTCGGAGACCCATTTTTCTGGCGCCTGGAGGGGGAAATCGGAAAACCCCATCCAAATGTGATGATTCACCGCTAAACCCAGGGGCACGGCCCCGGTGTATTGATCCGGGGTACATGGGGGTACCATGAAGTCTGTTCTGACTTTGGTCAGGACGTAGGCAACACGGTGGGACATGAAGCTTCAAGGCGAACTGTTCTTGGGTATGTTGCTATGGTGTGCGACATCCCACGTGAAGTGTGCCGCCGTGAAAAAATCGTCTTCATTAGGAGGGAACACTCCCCTAATCATGGGACGGGTGTATTAATCCTGGGTCAACATTCGTTGAGTTGGCATTTTTCTTGCTGGCGCTCAATGAGGGAATGACCCTGCTGAGCGCCAGTCAGTTGTTGAAAAGCCGATCGATGTTCGATTGTAAATAACTCCTTTTTAGTAGAGGGTTGACATGGTTCCCTCAAAAAGGAGAGCGAGACAGTGTGAGCGTGCGCTTTTGTGCACACTTTGAGCGGAAATTCGAGTTGAACGATGTTTGCATAATGTGTGTTTCAATGTTAGCTGATTTGCAAAGAATTTTGATTGAAAAGAAACTACAGTGTACATGTTCATTTGATTAGACGAATTCCAACTTAAATTATATTATAGTATAATAGAGATTGTTTAGATTCATTCCTCATCACATTCTGCTTAAACTCTAATGTTGAATTTTCTTTTGGGAAAGGATGTCCATGTTTAATCTAAATGTAAGCTGTAACTTCCAGTATGATCCTGATCAAGTATGTCCTTATCTCATCGCATTTAAATCCTTTTCAAATTCAAACTGATTGTTTGGGAGCGGCCGTTGATGGAGATGTGAATTGAGGACGACACACGCTACACAACGCTGTGTTTTACAGTGCTTTCTGACCATGGCAGTGCTGGGGATAGGAAAAACGATTTGGGCACATCTGATTTGTTTCCTTATGAAATATGCTGTACATATAAATTTCTACCCAAATTATAACTGAAATTGTATCGATATTAGTAAGGATAAACTTAAATTGCAATACATGTTACAAAATCGTGTTACACAGGATTGCCTTTCCAATAGAACTGTCCTTACAAATCAGTAAACATCTAGGCAACATGCACTTGACATTTTAGGGACCTCTAAATTAGTTCCTTGTGCATTCCTTTCACATCAAATATAGTTTAATAAGGACATATACCAAGCAGTTGTTGTAAATTTGTAATGTCACAATGATTGTTTTTATTATGAATAAGTGCTACGCAGGATTTCCTGTCCAATATCATTATTTCTTATAAATCATACTAAATTATTTTATTCAGCTCGGCTTAGTTCTAGCTAAAATCAGAAGGATTTAATGAGGAACAAATCCAGTCAGAGGAAACCATCTCTAGCTTACTGTACTAGGGCTTGGATGTGAACTGCACCAGCGCACTTGACCACAGAAGCTCTTGCAAACTGGCCAGAAACGGGAGATGCACAAAACTGGTGACAACCCAAAAATACAAGATTATGCCCCACAAGTCAGGACAGCTGACATAGTCTCGTTTGTTTTCTTTTGTTGTTTTGGTTTGTTTGTTTTCTCGAGGCTTTTCGCATAGCGGGTGTTTGGAGTAGGTGAATTGCAATTTGCCCGGCGGTCCTTTGCTTGGCCCGCTTTTGTGCCCCCAAGCCCAAGAAGGGCCGGTCGCCGTGCTTCTCTTACTCACTTCCTGAGTTCATGAGCTTTAAACTTTTTGGAAAGACCGCTGTAGTGGTAAATTTCAATTTTGGACCTTGTTTGTGCCATCCACTCAGCAAGTGAGACGAAAGATTTAGACTTAGTTCCCCTCCCCTTATCAAAAATAAGAAGGCATTGAACGACGCATTCGACGCTCCAACTTGTTGCAGTATGTTTTGACGATGTTTTTGTCGCATTGATGACACGTACTGATGAGTTCCATATGAAAGTGTCGATCCACTTCCTAGAGTTGAACCACATTGTGTTTCATCAACAACAAAGTCACGAGCGGAACACGGATGCCATCTCACCGATGAAAACAATGCATTTTTTCATGATGATTTTCCTTTTTGACTCACTTGAAACTGCTAAGCTCGACTCAGGATTGTGTATTGTTCCATTTTGTGTATTGGTTGGTAACTCGGATGGTGACGATGGAACATCAGATGACCGTCCGTTTGGCACAGTTCACTGTGATTGGTATGTTTGTTTGTTTTTTGGCTCTGCCCACGTTTATTAGGGGGCTGCAAATGGTAAAGTTGTTTGCTGCCGTACGGCCATGGGTCAAAAGCCCGTACCCCCAGTGAGCATCCCAATCCCCACTATAACTGACTAACATGGGTGGTGAATTCACCTACCCCAAAATGGCACCATTGGTTTTGACAACCACAGCCATACCGTTTGGCTTAAGGAAAGTGTAGTTGTTCCCCTGGATCGAGTGCAAAGTTGGTGGGGGTTTTGGCCGGAAGCGATTCCATCCGATTCCATCCGGTTCCGCCGGGTTCCTTCCAGAGCTCAGCTTTCCATGAGGTGGGTGAAACAAGTTGGGTTGCCCCTTTCAGCTTTCCATGAGGTGGTGGGTCGAAAAATTGGGCAACCCAGTGTTGCCCCATCGGTAATTAAATCTGGCGTCATTCTGTTGGAGCTGTTTCTAGGGGCTAAGTCAAAGTCAGAAGATGGTCGAAGTTGTTTCCCACTTCGTAACCCATCACTCGGGTGACTTTGGACAAATCATGAGGCCAGTAAATGGAACCGTGAAAATCCTGCGGTGCCAGGCGGTTTTCTGGTGGCCTTTCTCCCAGTTCAGCTTCGGATGATTTTGTTTGGGGTTTATTTGATTTGGGCTTGGACCATTTTAGTGGCAACCAAACCGTTTGGTTACTTTTTTCGGCCAATCCACGCGATCCGAAACGGGAATTGAAGCTCTCCTGTAGGGGTCCCTAATTCTGAGAAACCAGTTGGAGAACCACATTCAGAGGATTCCTAAATGTGCTCAGGGCGAACCACCCCAAATCAAGTATGGTCCTTGTCAAAAGCTGAAGGGTGACGCAGCCTCTTGTTTTTGTGTCTACCTTTCCACGAACATGGAACCTGACTGAGGGATCCTGCTTGGACCATTTTCCAAAGGGTGTCTTTGGTGGGTTCGAGGGTTAGCTGTTGTTTTTGGAGACTAATGTTGACCCAGGATTAATAAACCCGTCCCATTATTAGGGGGGTGTTCCCTCTAAAAGTGATGAATCCCCACTAAAATGGGACCCCCCAATTAATCAACCAGGGTTTATTAATCCGGGGTTAACATTAAATGGAGCTTGGGACCCCCCAACGCTTGGCCTTCTCAGCGTTCCAACCAATGTATTAAAACGTTCTGCTTTCCCTTAAGTCTTACTAGGTCCCCCAGTAGTGCCCTTTTACCCTTTTTTGGAGGAGGGTTGCCCTACTAAAATAGACTACAGAAAAAAGGGTACCCTTATTCTAGCCTCTCTACTGGAGGACCTAGCTTACCTTTCTTGCAGGTTATTGTAGGTTGTGCCTCATGAGTAGGGGACTAACCTCGCTTACGTCGTAGCCTTAACCTTCCTAAGTTCCAGAACATCCACGCACTTCTCCAAAGCGAATCGACCTTTTGACCTGCTGGTTTCCCTGATTTGGTCTATGAGTCACCCCAAAAGGTGAACACCTTGTATTTGTGGGTCTTTTGGGCAACTGAGTCCAGGAGATGCACAACATGTCCGACGCGGACGTGCAGTGCGATGCGGGCAAGTGCTTCGTCAACTCTCAGCATCGCCCAGACATTTTCGCGTGGAGCGTCTGAGCCATGCAAAGCGGCGACCACTTACCTGGACCCGAAAGTACGCCCTGAACAAAATGGGTTATTTCTCTAAACATATGGTCTGACATCCCTTTTTGATGGGTAGTTTGAGGGTCCAGGTAGTCTCGGTTGTTCAGTGGCACGCGCAGTTGTACATTTTGGGGCTCTTGACATCCAACCTTACTTTTCTTGTGCAGGGTCCACTGAACACGACATCATTCGCCCGAAAAGGGTTGCACGTTTTTTCCCACTGAAAAACTCGGATAGCCAGGGTTGCTCCTGTATGACCAAACCCCACTTTCTATATTCAGTCAGTTCTAATTATCGGTTCGAATGCGAGCGACCCTGTTGGTGTTCCAAACTGACATGGAACCGAAGCAAGCATGATCTTCAGAGGATCTCCAGGAGGACCTCTGGTGAATGCTAGTTTTCGGACGAGTGGACCCTTTTTTAATGGAGAAACAAATTGGGTGTGTCGTTTTTGGTAGTGGACCCCAAAATCGTGGTATTCCTTGTACTTTTGCTTTAACACCACCAAAAGCGGGGTACCAACTCAAAAAGCGACCTGACACGTTGGAACCAGCGGCCGGCGTCCAGCGGCTCGGGCGCTTGGCGAGAAAAAGGGGCCAGCCCGCGAGAGAGCTATCAGGGTCCACCCAAACGCTCCCAACTCGTTAAAACATTCTTTGGTGGCACCTGATTTCATGGTATCCTGAATGCCATGGTGCTTTGGCCCCCAAGGTTTCATGGGGGGTTTCCGTAAACGACCTCGGACAGAGTTGATACTTGAGGGCTCTGGGGTGTCCCACATTGGGGGGGTCGGACCCTCCCTAGAAGGGTCTATGGGCGTCAGGTACCACGACGGTAACCCAGGGCAAGGCCCTCAAAGAAAAATGGTGAAGGATTGCCTACTATCTGGGATCCACTGGCGTAGTCTTCAAGATTTGCTTTTCAGAATATGTCTTGATTTTCCTTTGTTCGTTTTACAGGGGATCGATCACTACTGGACATGTTTCGGTATATATTTTTTCGAGGGGGCCTAAGCAAATGGAGGTAGTTGGTGGTTTGGATCGGTGCTCTGGTTCTCGTAGGAAGCCACAGCTCCACACCTTTCCGGGGGAAGCTCCAAGGAACTGACCAGCTCCTCGCTGCTGTGCATGTGGCTTCCCATAGCAAGCCAAAGCAAAAGGGGTCCGTGATTTTGTTTGAAAATTCCGAGCCGGTGCCCACAATTGACGTGTCCTCGCTTGGGTGTTCGATTCGGAACCGGTGTTGTGTTTTTTTAGGTTACACCAGCCGTGTGTATTTTGAAATTCCTCATTTGGGATTCTCATGTTGTTGTTGTTGTTGTTTTGTTCTCCGTTTTTTTGTGATTGTTTTTTCTTCTCTCTTTTTTCCGCAGACGAAGAGAGCAAGCAAGTGAGTGAGCGACTGGTGGTTCCAATGCAAAAACACCTCGGTCCCGTGTTGCTTGTTTTTTGGTTTTTTGAAATCACACCTGGGGGGTGCCGTTCTTCTTTGTTTCTTGGAATTCGCGCCCCCAGGGTCCAGGCGTTTTGGTTTTTAGAAATCATGCCTGGGGTCCCGGTGTTGTTCTCTTGAAGTCACGCCTCGTGTTTTCTTTGTTTACATCACGCCTGGGCATGAGTTCAAAAATAAATAGCAAAAACAAAAAAACACCAGAGCCCCCAATGACTGCCCGCAAATGTGGGGTTGACCTTGTCATTAGGGGGTTCTAACCGAGCTGCTTACCAAATTGGCCGAACATCGAGGGGAGATTAGGCCTTCTAAGAGGTCCAAGTCAGGCCCTAAGAGTCCTTGCAAGGCATTGGCAAATACATGCATGTGTCTTGCAATTAGGCTTGTTTTTTTTTTTTTGGTTTTTTTTTGTTTTCCGCAGCCAACAGCGGTGTTGTTCATTAATTATGTTGTGTTCTTTCGCTATTAGGCGCGTGCTCTTTCGCTACTTGACATCGAGCAAGTTATTTCATCTGAACCGGCTTGCCCTTTGTTCCTTGGGAAACTCTCACTCAACTTGCGAGCGCGAAAGCGGTGGGGAATGAGAAATGGAATGAACCCAGTGGCTTTGGTCCCCTTTTTCAGGCAACCAGTTGGATGAATCGTTTTTCTTGGGGCCATTCCCACAGTGACCCTGTCGCACCAGCCAGCCAAAGGCACAAACCCAGCCCTCAGCTTCCGGTTCCCTCCCCGCGAGGACGCCATGGGCTTGGGACGGGATGGCGCCTGGGCGACTCACAAGTCCTTCCGGGTGCTCAAGGCGCGGAGCTCCGCGTTCCGTCGCTCGTCGGATGTCGGCGGGGTCGTCTAGGTCGTCGGCGGCCCAGGTTGGATGCTTTCGGGTTGGCAGATGTTTGCTTTCGGGTTTTTCTTTTTGCCGCCTGTGCAAAATGATAATTTTCTTGTAGTGAAGGATTCCTTTTCTAGGGGGTCGCCAATTTTCTCAGAAAAGGTGGCAACAAAAAAACCGTGCATGTTGGGGTTGATCCTTTAAACTTGACTGCTATTGGGTTGGATCTTTAGACTTTAACTTTTTGGGAAATCACGGGGTGTTCCACTGAACCCAAAAAAAAGTTACACTTTTTGCGGAGGGGTTTTTATAGCAATTAAGTAAAGGTCCGGTAAACATGGGAGGACCATTGGTTGGCAAACCGCCAAGACGACGAGGATTCAACCACATGGAAAAGGTTGCCCATGGTCACGTGGGGGCCGAAGGGAAAAAACACATCAACCCCCAGAAGAACTTGTTTTGCGTTTTTAGGGGGTCAAAGCCATGCCATAAGGACCTGTCGTTCTTTTCTGTTTTTTTTCGGGTGGGGGGCGGGGGGTCTGAACTCCAATGCTGGGTTCTCCTCCAAAGCATTGTTTGTTTGATTAAACAAGGGTGCTCGAAGTGGATTCCTTGGTTCAAGGCCGCCAAAGGGAAACCGAAACCAGCCGTCCGGCGCTCGACTGGAGTGGTCGACCAAAATATCTCTGGACCAGCCCGTGGCCAAGGGCCGGTCGGTTGAAACCGGGGACCTTAGGTCCGGCAGTTGGTTTGGTTTGCGTGGCGGTTTTGGATTTCCTTGGGTCCGGCACTCAGTTGGTTTGGATTGGTTTTGGTGTTGGGATTTGAAGCCCACTCCAAATTTTGAAGCCAATTGGGGTTTTGGTACCGTACTATCCAAACCCAACCAAGCCACCAAATGGGAGCAAGGTGATTAGAGATGTCTGGAGGCAGATCTTTGAGTCGGTCAAAAAACAACAACTCCCCATGTTGACATGGCTTGCTCAAAAGGCAGCTCCGTTTCCCAGATGGCGTTTCCTCTACACGTGGCGTCTTTTTTGGGGGAAGCCGGAGGGGGGGGTCTGTGTTGCTTCTTTTGGGGAGCTCTTGAAGGTTCGTGGCTGTGTTTAAGGGAGCGAACGAGCAGGAAGCGGATGACCTTTTGCGCACTTACCAACGAGTCGAGCAAAAAGGAGGCTTCCAATCACCAGCCACTCACCAGACCGTTGCTGTCCACCTGCTTTTTCAACCATGTCCAAGATCCCAAGTCGGTTGGTTGGGACTGAATTGGGTGCTCAAGCTTTCTTCCCAACTTGCCTGCCTTTTCAACCATGTCAATATTCGTCTTTAGAATTTGCATTGCTTGGGACCCCTGAGTCATTTTTTCAGCCGGGACCCACCGATGGGATTTGGTTGTCGTGAGGTGACCCGCATCGAGAACGGCCCGCTGTGGTCCGCCTATGCACAGCTGAGGAAGACCATCAGTCCGGTGGAGGCGGTTTGAAGGGGCGATCGGAGTTGTAAGCCTGGTTAGAAAACCTGCCTACAGCAAAGTAAGCTTAGAACACCACTGTTAGGCTAAGTTTGTGTATAGTTTGTGTAAGCTTATAACCAACTACTGCCTGAGTATAGTTTGTGTAAGCCAAGTAAGTGGGTTAGAAGCAACATTACTACCCCGCTTGGCCCACTTTCAGGTCCTTTCCCAAGAAATCTTCAAGGAGTTGAACCAATCTGGAAGCTGATTCTCAACCGATCGGTTCCTTAGTTTCACCCACCAATGTTGGTTCATGCCGGCTGCCAACCCCTTACAAAACAGCTCTCCCCCTCCCTGAACTATGAAACGTTGCTTTTTTCCATAGAAAGTGTTTGTTTAATGGTGAGTGACTCTAGTTAACAGGCTTCGCAGAAGCGTTAGGGGCTGCTAACTTGCAAGGCTACAAGGGCCTACGGGAGGGTTGGTCCCGTGGCAAAAAGCTAACCGCTAAATGGCTGCCCCTGAGATGGTCTTGTGGTTAGCTCATGTTAGCGAAATGGCGAGTCACGTTAGTTTCAAGGGTTTGCACGGCATGTGGGTTTGAGTAGGGGTTAATTAAGTAAAACCGCTCCAGCCAACACACACAAGCGCCCAGGTATTTTGAACGGAGTGTCTGGAAACCTTGGGCAGAGAGCGCTCTCTCGCAAATTGGCTCCTTGCCCCAAAGGATTCCTACAGGGGAGCCCAATAAATTGAACCAACTCGGGGGAACTCCGGAGACCCCTGTCACAAAATTTGTTTGGCGTTTCGGAAAAAGAACAGCTCTTTGGAGCTACCATGCCTAAGAAGCGTTTGGAGGGTCTGCGGGTTAGCCACTTGGGGAACTTCCGGAAGCATGCTTCAGCCATAGCAAAGGGGTTCCACTCAACGTGCGAACCCCCGGGTTCACTGTCTCCTTATCTCTTGTGTGTGAATGTTTGGTGATTCCCAGCCATTCGATGCCTGAGGGCTTGAGCGTGTTTTTTGTTCGTTCAGTGGTACTTTCAGCGCAAGGTGTTCGACTTGTACCAGGGCACCCGGGAACGAAACAGCTTGTTGGAATCGGAACATGAGGCCTAGAGTGGCCAGATGTGAAAATCCAAGGTGGAGATAGCGCAAGCGAGATGAACCGAGCTCTTGTTGTTGGTTTTTGTTTTTGTTTTGTTTTTTTGTTTTTTTTCCGCAGGTGTCCAGATCCAAGCCTTCCCTGTTTTGGGCACCAGAAGGTGACCATCCAAGCGGGGGTGTCTGGGTCCGATTGTTTGGCAAAGGACCGGTCCTCTATGAATGCAAGGCTGGCTGGACATGAATCCCCGCCAAGCTTGTATAAAGGGTTCCCTATAGTAACAATAATAACAATGAGAACAATCATGAGAAGAATAGTAGCAATAATAATAATGATAATAAAAAGTAATAACAAGACTAACAACAATGATGATGATAATACTAATCATATTAATAATACAACGTTAAACGCGTACACGGGTGATAGGAAGTCTCTCTGTTCGTCGAATGTTGAGTTGGAGCTCTGCCCTGAGGCCACTTTGAAGAAGATGTCCAAGGCGCGGAAAGCTTGGAGCCTTTTTGTCGGCTGATAATTTCCGCGTTGATCAGGTCCGTGATTAATACGCCTCACTTCGTGAGTTTGGGGACTTTAAGCTTTTTGGGAAGACTCATTTTAGTGGTAAATATAAAGTTTGGACTTTTTTTGGGCCATCCCCTCAGCAAGTGAGACACGGGACCAATGCGGCAACCATCAAAAAAAAGGAGACGACTTTGTCGCCACATGGGAAAACTACCCATGGTCAAAGGAAGGCAGTACCGGGCAAGTCACCGCGCTCACGATTCTTCTTGGCTGCATAAGGGGGTGTTCCCTAGTTTTTGGAGGGGCTTCCCTTTGGGATGAACAAAACCCCCAAATGAACAAGTGAGGATTTTTCCTCATGGCCACTGTATGGGGTCCTGAATTCCAGCCAAAAGACGGGTAGTCATGGTTGTTGTTGGGAAACATTTTACATTTTTTCTTATTGTGGTTTAGTGGAAAATCCCCACTGAACTGCTATATTGTTGCTCCCCTTCCAACGTCAACCAAGTAAATGAAGAAGTGAGGATTCTTCCTCACGGCCACTGTATGGGGTCCTGAATTCCACATCCAAAAGACGGGTAGTTCTCAGACTGATGATACAGAGAGCTGTAGCTGCTACTGCTGCTGCTGAATGCTGTGATTGTGTGGCTCGATTTTTTGTGTCAGGAGTCTTTTTCGGCCACTGGTTCCAACTTGCCCCATGTCTCGCAGGTTGCCAGTGGTTCAACTCTACGCCTTTCTGGTGAGAGTCCTAGCTGATGGCGACTTGGTGACCACCACCAGCCATCCTGGCTATGCGATCGAACTAGTTTGTGAACGCTGCAGCTGTCCCACTGCAACAAATCCCGGCTGGAGGGGCCAGCAGTCTTTGGAGAGCTGCGCTCAAACTTGCGCGCAAGAAGGGTCCCGGATCAAACATGCCAGTGGCCTCAAGTCGAATGGCGACCCAGGTGACAACAACTGCGGCTGTTGCAACAGCCTCGAGACCTTTGATCAACGCGTCGACTTTGGGATAAATGTGTACCAGATCAGTACGGCGACCACTCACTCAAGTACGGGGGTGACTACCAGCCATGCTCAGTCAAGCAACTCCTATGTGATCCAGGCAATTTGCACACAATGCAGCTGTCCTAGTGGAGAAACTCCCGGCTGGAGAGGCTTCCAATCTCTCGCAAGCTGCGCTCAGACCTGCGCGCGAGAGGGATCCTGGTTCAAGCACGCCAGTGGCGTAAAGCACGACGGCAGTCCAGGTGATAACAACTGCGACTGTTGCGACGATGTGAGCTCTCTGGATCCCGACACATACTGGGGGATAAATGTCTACCAGTTCAGAAGTGTAGATTCGCAGTCCTACTACCAGCGTTCATGCGCGGGCTGCTCCTGTAGTGAGTCAACAAAGGCCCGGACGACGACAAGGACTTTCGACGATTGTGCTGCCTTTTGTGCTGAGCAGTTTCCCCGTTTCCAATATGACGACACTGTCATGGTAGGCACATGTATTTGCTGCTTACAAGGTACGAAGACGTCTGGTCGTGGTAGCGTGTATGTGTATCACAGCCCTCGCGCTACAATTGAAACAGGAGCTGCCTATCGGTCCGCGACCATCACGGTAGCGTGGCTTTACTTCGCGCTTCATCACTGGTGAAGTCCACCCACTCCTCAGTTGTTCAGTGGCACCCTTTTTCCCCTTTTTGTTGGCTGCCCCCACTAATTAAAAACGGTCTTCCCAAAAAAGGGTTCCCTTTCTTTCCAGGGTCACTGAACAACTGAGACTCAGTTTCACAAAGTCTCACACTTGAGCAAAAATGAGGGGAGCCAAGAGGCGAGAGTAGAGAAAAGGCCGTACAGTGAGTGAACCACACACAACTGCTCCTCGCGGGCTAGATCGGGCTGTTGTACATAGGTGACTTTCCAGCACTATATGTCCTAAACTTTGATTTAAGAAACGCTGAAAGCGGACTTGCCGAATTCTCCGTCTTGACGCCGTGGGAAAGTCTTTCGGCATCTTGCCCGGACAGATCATGGCGACCTGGTCACTTCGAATCTCCTCTCTGTCCGAGGCTTACCCTTGTTTGGGCTCGGTTTTTTCCGGGGAACAAAGGGAGCCTTTACCCAGTTGCCCAACAGCCACAATCCCTCCCCTCCCCACCCAACAGCCCGGCACGGCGGTCCCAAAAGGCAGTGGTTGGATTGAACGGAATCGAGTGATTTGCAGGTTTTGAGCCACACCCTCTTAGTGGCTCCCAGCTATCCGGCTCCTTAGCTTTGTAGCTGTTTGGTCGGTTTGCTTCCATTTGCTGAATAATATTATGTTGTATTTCCCGTTGTTGGTTTCAATGACATCTCTCACAAATTTGTTCTCCTCTCTTTGTTTTTCTGGGCGGAAAAGCAAATGGAAGTCCAGTGGTCAGAGTTGACGAGTCCCGAATTTCTCACCAAAAACCTTGACTTTTCGATCACAAAGCGGGCAGAGATTCACGAGGACTGGCAGGATTGGACGCGACGATCCCTTGAGGCCCGGCGCTTCAGAGCCGACCAACTTGGGGGTCGCTTCCGGGTCAACCAACATTTGAGCGGTTTTGAGTGGTTTTGCGTGGGTTTGAGTGGTTTTTAGTGTTTTGTGTTCTGGTTTATTTGGTTTTGAGTGGGTTGAGTGAGTTTACTTGGCGGTTCCCAGCCGTCCAGTTCCAGAAAGCGTTTTTAGTTGGTTTGTGCTTGTCCGCGTACCACCAAGTGTTCGACTTTTGGGGGGACAGCCCAGGTTTCCAGAGGGTCTATTGGCGAAATCGCATTTTGGTTTTCTGTTGAGGACTTTAGTGGTAGAATCGTCCAGTTTGGAGACCTGCTGTGATGAAGACTGGTGTTTGCTGGATTTCAGACAGGTTGAGACAAAACACACACACACCAGGTTGTTGTGAGACAGGTCAAACACAAGCCGAGGGGGGTTGTTAGTACTTGTGTTGAACAATCTCCTTTGGGGGGACCTCTTTTTGGTTCCGTGTTGCACTGGGGAATAGTGTCAATCATTGTGTTCAAGACGTCATTTCCTTTGGCGTCTCGGAGTTTTTTCAATGCGCACTGGAATGGGGAAGCTAACCTGGAAAAAATGGGCTCCTTTGTTCATGGGGTTCTGTTCATGAATGCGTAGTACTGGAGAGCTGCCCTGGTTGAAATCACATGCACCACTGCAACCCCAGCCTTCCAATGGAAGTGGACGGTAGTCTTCCAACTCCGATCATCAGCTTCCATGATGTTTGTTGCATCAGTTTTTCCGTGCCAGTTTCTGTGGCAAGGAGGTGACTTCACCAAACTCACCAATATTCACGCCCTCAGTTGTTCAGTGGCACCCTTTTTCCCCTTTTTTGGTGGCTGCCCCACTAAAAATTGTCTTCCTCAAAAAGGGTTCCCTTTTTTTCCGGGGTCACTGAACAACATTCACACCGCTTCCCCTGCTGAACATGGACCCCCAAAATCTTCGGACAGGGAGACTCGAGTCAATGCCACAAAAACCGCCTCCTTCAGGACCTTTTGCACCCAGTTGCAACCATTGCTTTCCGTTTTTGTTTTTTGTTTTTGGGGGGGGGAAGGGTTCCAATTCCTTTAAAGTCAACCAACCAGAAAAGGATGCTCTTTTTTCTCTATGGCCACTGGGCATTTGAGTGGAAGCAAAGGGGCGGTTCGATTTTTATCAACAAAAGGTGATCGACCGGCTTTTTGCTTGCGCAAGCGCAGCCCACGCATCTGTGGGGAAGTAGTTGTAAGGACCCTTGTTTAGGGGGCCAGACATGGTCCAGACTTGAACTCTCACTGTTCCATTTTTTCTTGGCCTTTGGGTTTTCCTGCAAATCACGTCATCCCAATTGGTTACAAGGGTCCCAAGCTGGGGCTTTGGCATAGGTCCGGGGTCTCCCTTTTTTGTTGTAGGGCCAACATTTTTATGGAATCCCATCCGGGGGGTAGGTCAACAGTAGTTGAGAGTCCCTTTCGGGTTCCTTAGAGCCTTAGCAAATCCTTTCCCCCTGAACCGGACTCCAAAAAAGAGTGTATGACTCAGAAATTCAGAAAGTCTGAGAATGAGATGTTTGGTGTACAGAGTTTTGCGAGACCCCCCTGGTCGATCGCTTTCCGTTGGCCTTCCCATTCAAGCAAAATGGCGTGTTTTTTTTTTTTTTAAGCAGACAGGCGTCTCCAACTTTACTTAATTGTTTGGAGTACTGTGTGTTTGTACCCCAGATGTGGTCCAAAGTCCGAGTTTGAGGACAGCCCAGCCCATGTTTCTGTGTACGGTCACTGAATGGGTTGGTTGCCCATGTCCTCAATCGTGTTCTTCGGCTACTTCAGGCGGTCATTATATGTCCACGTAGTCACTTGACCTTGCTGGGCATTTGTGAGATTTGCTGATTCGCTTCCTTTTGTGGGTCTAGGTTCAACCTAAACAGACAATTATGATAGTCGCTGACTGCTTTGGTAGACCTTGGGGACATGGAGGGGCCGCCAAATTCACCCTAGGCCCCAATCTTTCCAGATGTCCAGCGGAAGATCCGCAACTCTTTCGATAGGTGATTGACACCGTGCACGAGGCGCTGGGTTGGGTTATCGATTGTTCGTACTGGAACTGTTCTTCCCTTTCTGTTTCTGTTTTTTTTTTTTAGGGGGTCGGGTGGTTGGTGGGGGGTAGTGGGGGGTGGGGCGTCACATTTGGGCGTGTCTCCTTTTTTGAGGCTTTTTCTGGGGGTGTTGAAGACAAACTGACGGAAAACCCATGACTTTAGGGGTTCGCTTGAAGACACGTTTCTTTGATGGTCTGAGATCCGGTTGATATTGCCCTCCTTGGGTGCTCAAGCAAAGCTTGATGATTAGTTGGGTGGTTTGGATTGGTGGTTTGAATTCGGATTTGAAGCCCCGGATTTGAATTTCAATCCAAACCACCAATTGGAAGGAAGCTGAAGGGGACGATCACCCCAGCACAGTCATAATCTTGCATACAACCTACTGACTTGACCTCCGAGTCCCCGGCAAACTTTTCCTGGCAAGCCTTGATCAGCATCCCGTAGTTTTTGGTCCCCCAAAGACGTGATCCGAGAGTGATTGCTTTGGCCAATCCACTCAACATGGTTGTTGGGAAACATTTTACATGTTTGCTTATTGTGGTTTAGTGGAAAATCCGCATTTAACTGCTAAACAATTAAATTGTTGCTCCCCTTCCAACGTCAACCAAGTCAACGGGAAGTGAGCCTCCCTCTAGTCGCAACCTTGAGCCTTGTGATCCGCGATCTGCGGCGAATCGAATCACTCAGAAATGCGCGGTTCCATACACGCGGTTCCGAACCCGCCGCCCAGTTCCTTAAGTTTTTAGCGGTTTTTAGTTGGCTCAGGGATTCCGAATTTACCACAAGTTAAACTTTGCTCAGCTGGGACAAGCCAGAAAAAGTCTAGCGTCTAGCGACCTTTGTCTGAAGGAGCGGCTGTTTTCCTGAGCACCTACCTTGGTTGCCTCAAAAACAACAATGAGCTTGCAAGCTCCCACGGCCCTTATTTTTGGCTATTCACTTTAGCTGCAAAACCCCAAAAGCAGCGGCGTCTGTAGGGAAGCATTAAGACATCAAGCTGCCAGTTTCACTTCAGCATGCCATCATCAGAATTCATCCCACGTACTTGAGCTACACTTACTTGGGGGTCAACTAACAAACATGGGGCGGGCTGCGCCACTGCTCTGGGTTTTGGAATGCAGTAACATAAGTTTACCCAGCCACCGAGCTAAGCCATGCAGGAGGAAATGGCCAGAGGCGCGCACTACAGGAAATGCGCAAGTCCAGACAGGCTGATGTCTGCACTTCAAGAGAAGGAACACTGCAGCTTCTTGCAGCTCCCAAAACCATGGGGGGGAAGGTTTATATAGTGAGGCAGCACAGTGAGACCACACATACCCCCATTTCAACTTATTTTGAACTTTGCGCAATCTGGAGTACAAAGTCGCTATCGAATTGAGATCTGGGGCCGAAGTGGTGCAGGGGGCATCCAACTCTCTTCACGGGGCTTGGACATTGCGCAGCATAACTATCCACATGAAAGCTGCTTGCAGTTGGTGTGGGGGTACAAAACTTCACTAACAATCCAAACAGGGCAAATCATTGCTCCGTGGAGGGGGTCATCGGTAGAATGAACACAGTTGAACAATATGCGTGCATGCCAAATGCCGAAGAATATCATATGGGTATGTGGCTTGACGGCCCTAGAGACAAGCCCGTATCTAGCGGCAAGTTCATCAGGCCGCAGTGGAGGCTGGTGATGTGATCACCTTTAGGCGAGGATCTCCACGCGGCAGTCAATGTGGAGCTCGCGACCGCCGCCCGCAAGGGCCCAAAAGAAAAACCTTCAGAGCAACACGATCCAGTGGGACGACGCGGCCGGCAAAGTCTTCGACGCGATTTGGCCCCACGGCGGCTTCGTCATCTTCGAAACCAGGCATGCCTCTTGTCTTCGATCTCAAGGCGCTTCAGACAACTTTGCAGTTCGAAGAAACTGTTCGTCTTGAACTTGCAGCCACCCTTTGAATTCCAGTTTGGGTCTCAGCACCTCCGCTCAAACACCCGTCCACATAGCACTATATAGTTGTGGATTTCAGCCGGCGACGTGACCATCGACGCGGACAACCGTGGGCTCGATTCCTCTAGAAATGGGTTGGCTTTTGAGGGGTGCGCAGAGCTGTTCTGGTTCCAACCCACACAGAACCACCGGTTTCTAGAGGAATCCCACATCGAACCCCATCCACCCCATTTCTAGCGTCGCGAACCCCTTCCTTGTCTTCTGAAATTCCCGTGCCTTCGCAGGAATCGCCATCCATTTTCGACCAGAACACCAACCAGCTTCTGACTTTTATAATCCCCAGAAACAGCTCCCTGGACCTTCAAATGGGGTGCATCCCTTCGTATGGGTAGTCTGAGGGGGTCTAAACAAATTGGCAGGGGCGAAATGCCAGCGGCTCCATCAAGACCTTCGCCGGAGCCCTGAATGACGCCTTTGCCGGTTTGTTTGCCGCGAGTCAACACCGCTTTTTGTGTTTTATTCTTCTCCTTTTCTCTGGGGGGGGAACCTGGTCCGGTCTTCTAGGGCAAGCACTGATCCCTTTTTGTTTATTTAGCAAACAAAAGGTATCGGTGTTTGGAGGGGAGAAGGGGGTAAACCCCCCAACTGTACTTGCTGGTTTGGAGGTGTTTTGACCGTCCACCCTCCATGGAAGAAGTGAGGCCCAGAACTGATTTGTGAGCATCAGCTGGTTGGGGGCTTGTGGCTCAAAATCTTCAACAGCTCCATCCACCAAGGCGCCAAACATAGGAATTCCCAGTGTTTTGAGCAGCCAAAATTGCCTTTAACCTCAACACAATCGCCAGATTTCGATGCTGGGGGGCTGAAGCCATGGAAGAAGGTTCTATTTCGGGTGGGGGTCTTCACCATTGGGTGCTTTTGTTGAAGGGCGGTGTCAAGGGGGAAATGAAAAGGAAACCACTAAAATACACTTCCCCAGATTTAAGACACACGAGTTTCCCTTCAAGCCAGTTTTGCGGATCACCTGTTGCACCATTTCTGGCGGCATTTGTTTCCTTTTGATGTGATGTTTGAGGGGAATTAGAGGGCGCCCAGTTCCCTTCTTTGGAGATGATGCTCATGAAACCTTTGTTGAGCAATCTAACTAGTTGAGTTCGATTCGCCGAGCCAGCTGCGCGTCTTGTTCCAAGATCGAAGCGAATGAACACAACTCCCACAGCTGGGGTATCTCCGAAGCTACAACTCAGCTGCCCAAAGCCAAAAAAGAACTGAAATGACCTTTGAGCTTATTACCCGCGGGTTCCCCTTTTTCCGGATCCTTGAACTGCGCAGAGATACTTGAGTTTAGGTTGACCACCTGTCAGCCAAAGAACGAAGCAAAAGTTGGCGGGCTTTTCTCTAGCTTAAGGGGGTAACAGGCCGCCGAATGCGAAGTTTTTGGGCCTGACCCTTTGACCCCCAAATCCCCTTAGTTGCTTCGCGAGCCAAATCGCCAAATCCCCAATCCTCCGACATCAGTCCCAAAGGGAGGGTGAAAGAAAGCCAAAGTCCATCGGGGTCTCAAATGAGGCAAAACCTGCGGCAATCCGTGGGGTTTTCTTTGGGTTTGCTTTGGAACCAAAAAAGGGTTCCCCTCAGCGTTTGCACCCCACGGTTCAACTCCCAAGTTGCCCACACAGGGCATCGCGTTGTTTTTAGTTAGGGCTTGCAGGGTGTTTTCTTGGGATTGAACCGGGGGTTAACTCATCCTCCCGGACTAGTGTGGATTCCACCCAAATCCCGTGTGTTTAGATTTGTGGGTTCCTAAACGTGGTAAACCTCGGAAGGGTTCCAATACCGGGAAAGCATCCCGGGGTAGAAAGACACATGTGGTGTCGTTTGGGTTTCCTTGGGGGTTTCCTTTCATTTTTTGGGGCTTCGATTCCACCCAAATCCCGTGAGTTTAGATTTGTGGGTTCCTAAACATGGTAAACCTCGGAAGGGTTCCAATACCGGGCAACCATCCCGGGGTAGAAAGACACATATGGTGTCGTTTGGGTTTCCTTGGGGGTTTCCTTTCATTTTTTGGGGCTTCGATTCCACCCAAATCCCGTGTGTTTAGATTTGTGGGTTCCTAAACATGGTAAACCTCGGAAGGGTTCCAATACCGGGCAACCATCCCGGGGTAGAAAGACACATGTGGTGTCGTTTGGGTTTCCTTGGGGGTTTCCTTTCATTCTTTGGGGCTTCGATTCCACCCAAATCCCGTGTGTTTAGATTTGTGGGTTCCTAAACATGGTAAACTTTGGAAGGGCTCCAATACCGGGCAAACATCCCGGGGTAGAAAAACACATGTGGTGTCGTTTGGGTTTCCTTGGGGGTTTCCTTTCATTCTTTGGGGCTTCGATTCCACCCAAATCCCGTGTGTTTAGATTTGTGGGTTCCTAAACATGGTAAACTTTGGAAGGGTTCCAATACCGGGCAAACATCCCGGAATAGAAAAACACATGTGGTGTCGTTTGGGTTTCCTTGGGGGTTTCCTTTTATTTTTTGGGGCTTCGATTCCACCCAAATCCCGTGTGTTTAGATTTGTGGGTTCCTAAACATGGTAAACCTCGGAAGGGTTCCAATACCGGGCAAACATCCCGGGGTAGAAAGACACATGTGGTGTCGTTTGGGTTTCCTTGGGGGTTTCCTTTCATTTTTTGGGGCTTCGATTCCACCCAAATCCCGTGTGTTTAGATTTGTGGGTTCCTAAACATGGTAAACCTCGGAAGGGTTCCAATACCGGGCAAACATCCCGGGGTAGAAAGACACATGTGGTGTCGTTTGGGTTTCCTTGGGGGTTTCCTTTCATTCTTTGGGGCTTCGATTCCACCCAAATCCCGTGTGTTTAGATTTGTGGGTTCCTAAACATGGTAAACCTCGGAAGGGTTCCAATACCGGGCAACCATCCCGGGGTAGAAAGACACATGTGGTGTCGTTTGGGTTTCCTTGGAAGGGTTCCTTTCATTTTTTGGGGCTTCGATTCCACCCAAATCCCGTGTCTTTAGATTTGTGGGTTCCTAAACATGGTAAACCTCGGAAGGGTTCCAATACCGGGCAACCATCCCGGGGTAGAAAGACACGTGTGGTGTCGTTTGGGTTTCCTTGGGGGTTTCCTTTCATTCTTTGGGGCTTCGATTCCACCCAAATCCCGTGTGTTTAGATTTGTGGGTTCCTAAACATGGTAAACCTCGGAAGGGTTCCAATACCGGGCAAACATCCCGGGGTAGAAAGACACATGTGGTGTCGTTTGGGTTTCCTTGGGGGTTTCCTTTCATTCTTTGGGGCTTCGATTCCACCCAAATCCCGTGTGTTTAGATTTGTGGGTTCCTAAACATGGTAAACTTTGGAAGGGTTCCAATACCGGGCAAACATCCCGGGGTAGAAAGACACATGTGGTGTCGTTTGGGTTTCCTTGGGGGTTTCCTTTCATTCTTTGGGGCTTCGATTCCACCCAAATCCCGTGTGTTTAGATTTGTGGGTTCCTAAACATGGTAAACCTCGGAAGGGTTCCAATACCGGGCAACCATCCCGGGGTAGAAAGACACATGTGGTGTCGTTTGGGTTTCCTTGGGGGTTTCCTTTCATTCTTTGGGGCTTCGATTCCACCCAAATCCCGTGTGTTTAGATTTGTGGGTTCCTAAACATGGTAAACCTCGGAAGGGTTCCAATACCGGGCAAACATCCCGGGGTAGAAAGACACATGTGGTGTCGTTTGGGTTTCCTTGGGGGTTTCCTTTCATTCTTTGGGGCTTCGATTCCACCCAAATCCCGTGTGTTTAGATTTGTGGGTTCCTAAACATGGTAAACCTCGGAAGGGTTCCAATACCGGGCAACCATCCCGGGGTAGAAAGACACATGTGGTGTCGTTTGGGTTTCCTTGGGGGTTTCCTTTCATTTTTTGGGGCTTCGATTCCACCCAAATCCCGTGTGTTTAGATTTGTGGGTTCCTAAACATGGTACACCTCGGAAGGGTTCCAATACCGGGCAACCATCCCCGGGTAGAAAGACACATGTGGTGTCGTTTGGGTTTCCTTGGGGGTTTCCTTTCATTTTTTGGGGCTTCGATTCCACCCAAATCCCGTGTGTTTAGATTTGTGGGTTCCTAAACATGGTAAACCTCGGAAGGGTTCCAATACCGGGCAAACATCCCGGGGTAGAAAGACACATGTGGTGTCGTTTGGGTTTCCTTGGGGGTTTCCTTTCATTCTTTGGGGCTTCGATTCCACCCAAATCCCGTGTGTTTAGATTTGTGGGTTCCTAAACATGGTAAACCTCGGAAGGGTTCCAATACCGGGCAAACATCCCGGGGTAGAAAGACATATGTGGTGTCGTTTGTGTTTCCTTGGGGGTTTCCTTTCATTCTTTGGGGCTTCGATTCCACCCAAATCCCGTGTGTTTAGATTTGTGGGTTCCTAAACATGGTAAACCTCGGAAGGGTTCCAATACCGGGCAACCATCCCGGGGTAGAAAGACACATGTGGTGTCGTTTGGGTTTCCTTGGGGGTTTCCTTTCATTTTTTGGGGTTTCGATTCCACCCAAATCCCGTGTGTTTAGATTTGTGGGTTTCTAAACACATCGTGTCCTTTGGGTTTCCTTTGGGCTTCCTTTGTGTTCGTTTGGATGCCTCGGTAGTTATCATGGTGATGAAAGGGATGCTACGATGATAGTTATCATCATCACGAAGGTGATGATCCTATTCTTTTGTTTATACAGTTCAACACTGACATGTCTAAGGTAAGTATTGAAATGTACGTATAAGAAGAAATGGGTCATCACCGTCGAATTTTTTGGTTCCCTCCGGGCCTTTGAAAACCCGGGCGCCGGGATCGAGATCAAGTCCTTAAACCTGGACGAGCGACGCAACGAGCGGCTCATGCCCGAGGGCCCAGACCGGTTCTACCCCCCCCCCGTATGGTAGACGCTGGGGGGTCTATTTTGCAACCTTCCTTTTGGGGGGTATTGTTTTTTTTGGGGTTCTTGGTTGCATTTTGGGGTATTGTTTTTTTTGGTTCTTGGTTGCATTTTGGGGTATTGGTTTTGGGGGTTCTTGGTTGCAAAATAGACTCTTGGTGTCCATGGCACCCCCCCCCCCCCCCGAAACCCGAAACCCCCCCAAAAAAAGGGGGGAAACCAAAAAACAAAAACGACACCTGCGGCTCGCCAACCACAGCAAGGACACAGGTTTTCGTCCTTGGTTCTATTGACCGGTCGGGCAAGCCGGTTTGGGGGTACCCTGTTCTTGACAACCACAGCCATCTCAGTTCTTCCCCAGAATGAGTTATTTTGCTTGTTTGGGGTCCCTTTGTGTTCCACCAGGCAAAAAGGATATAATATATATATATAATATATATATATATATATATATTTTTTGCTGGGGTCCTAATTCCAGCCTAGAGTTCTTCTTCTTCTTCTTTTTGTTTCTCGAAATTACATTGCCGACAAGTTGAACTAACTTGCGGAGATGGGCCTTTGCCAGCCACTTCCGATCGAGTTCCGAAACGCGGACTTGAGTTTCACTAGATGGGGTTGGACCATCTCAGTGGTATAACTAAAACATCCAGCCCCCCCCCCCCCCGATGGCCGGTAATTGGCGTCCCGGGTGAAGTGCTTAAAAATGGTGTTGTATACTTTTTTGGGCCAATGGTACTCTGGAAGTGAACTAAGGGTAACGCACAACGCCCTGGGGTTTCAGGGACCAACAGTGATCCGACTCGCAAATGGATTGATCCCGACATCCACTCCGCTCGGCATGACGAAACCCTGAACCAAACCGCCACTCTGCGACTGGTCGAGGATGTTATCCAGTATCATTGCCGGACGAAAGATATGTATGTTTTGGACATTTTGGGATTTTGCCTTTTTGGCGTGTTCCATATGTTCCCAACAACCAGCTTCAGAAGTGACGGTTCGGGGTCGGATCCGGGCGCAAGTTTGTTGCCATGTTCAGCTAAAGGGAAGAATTCCCACAACTTTCACGGGCCCACGTGTATGCCTATTTCGTCCATTTTCTGATATGTGTTTGGTACGGAAATCTATCACTGTTGTTTTTTTTTTTTTCTCGGGGGACGAAGAAGCAAATGGAAAAGGGGGGCCTAGGTGTATGGCCATTTCGTTTGTAGATGGGCAAGGGAATTGAGAGGGACACCAATGACACCAAAAGGTTTGTATTGAAGCTCCCTAAAGATTCGTCCCGTAGCAAGTTGGAGCTCGTTTCCTGTAGTATCCCTTGACCAACCTTGGGAATGTCGGCTGGTGTGGCCCCAGCGGTTTTCCGCGAATGTGTCGAACTCTTGAGTGTGTCTTCTTGCAAGGTCGCTCCGCAAAAGATGACGCCCTCTGGGGTTCAAACCACCATTGAAACTATGGGGGTTTATACAATCACCGTTATTTTTACCTATAAGGGTTGTCATTGCCATTCATTTAATTATTGGGGCTTGAAAATTTTGGGAAACTGTTGGCCGACCTGAGATTTTCTGATAACATGGTTTCGACCGTGAGGGGTTTTGGAGTAGTTGTGTCCGAAAGAAGGGACCGCCAAAACCAGTTCGCTTCGGGTTTTCCGTTTCATCGTTCCCCCATGGCTGGACCTCCCCCCATTTTCCGGCCTGACCTGGGCCATCGCTGGAAGGATTTCAGCCATTGAGGATTCAAGTTTGTGGTAAGCCCTCGTTTGCCGGTGGGATCCGTTCCCAGTTTCTGACTGCCTGACACCGGAACTCTAAAAGGGACGACTGAGCGGCCTATTTCCGGCGGAGCGGCCTGTTGAACAGTCAATCAAAAAGGTGACAGAAGGACCACCATTTCAGAGGCTCTCATTGGTTTGCTGGCGACTGATCTTCCTGGTTTGCTGGGGTCATTATGCCTGGTGATTATGAAAGTCGACTGAGATGCTTCGCTTCAACCTACCACTTAGGGGTGACTTTGGTATAATGAGGATTCCCAGTTTCTGATTCCAATCACCAAGTAGACCACTGGTGAATTCGCTGAACTTACCCCTAGCTTATGGTTTCTGATTGGTCGTGGGCGGTGGGATTGGAATCCGCTACTAGTAGCGGTTTGCTGCTGGCTGATCCGGGCATTGTCAGGTACGGGCTCTGGATGTATGGAGACAAGATATTTGTCTAGCTCCCCCAGTAGTGCCCTTTTACGCTTTTTTGGGGCAGGGTTCCCCCACTAAAATAGACTACAGAAAAAAGTTGGTACCCTTATTCTAACCTCTCTAGTGGAGGACCTAGTTGTGGCACAAGCCAGAACCCATTCCACCATACTGCCCATGGACAAGAACCCCTTTCCATGCCTTGAAACTCCGTCTTGACAGATCAGTCAGTAGGAAGCCGATGACTGTGGTGTCCAATCCATCCTCTAAACGACCAATCAGAAGCCAGGAGTCAATAAACTCAGCTAGGTGTTGAAAGTTAAGGCTTATTCACCAAGAAGATAGGGGCTACCAGGGGCTTACGGATTCACACATTCTGCAATGCCCTTGAAAGAGGTTGCCCAGTTTCTGGCTGCCTGATGGGGTGTTCCAATCGACATAACCTAGAGTCATAACCCACGTAGAACTGCCCCCGTTCAGTGGTGTTAACAGCTTGTTCGGGAGAAACCACCCCTTGGTATAGATTGGTGGTGTGGTTAGAGCTGGTTTCCCACCTCTGTCTTTTTTGCGGTTACCTTTTTCTTCGTGGGTTTCAAGGAAAACCAACCTTTGACCACCACCTTTGCTCGGGGGGGGGGGGGGGATTCTCCAAATCCAAGAACATGACGAGCCATCCAATTGGCTCAGAACCTAACTTCTTCGATGTTCAAGCTAAGAAAGTTGTAAGGGTTGAAGGCACTTGCTCCGTCCACTGACTGGCCTCCAGTCTTCATGCTGGAGTCTTCTGTGCAAGAATCATGCAAGTGATGTTAAAAAAAGACTGATCTGGGGGTCCCCTTCAATATACATAAAAGCAAGCACGAGCAGGGAGACAAAGGTATCCCTAAAGCAGTCGCAACCTTGGAATAGCCTACTTGCTAAGTTGCCTGAAGCTACGAATTTGGGTCTTTCGGCAAAGAAAGTAGCTTGTAACTATGGTCATAAGGGGGACGATCGCCCTACGGGTCAGTCTTTTTTGGAGTTGGTAACTCTTTTTTCAGAGGTGCATTTTGCTTGGCTGTTAGGACTTTGCCTTTTTGCCAACTAATGCTTTTTTGTGTGTTTAATCAAACCACTAAAAGTTAGTCACTTTTAGCCGGGGAGCAGAAAGCAGCCGAGTTTTGGTGTCATTTTTGGAGTTGATACCTCTTTTTCGGTGGTTTCAACGGGAAGCGTCACGCGGAAAGCGACGAAGTCACGTATCCGATGGGATCAGATCGCGAGAGGTTCCACGGCTCCCCGGGTGCTGGGGCCCGGCATCCAGGCACCGGCCAGGTGCGGTTCCGAGGGAAGTGGATGCCTGGTGGTTCGGAGGATCTTCCATTTGCTTATGTTGAATTTTCCCGTGTTGGTTTTAAAAGGAGTTTATCACTACTGGACATATGGTCTATTTTTTCCAGGGGTCTTAACCAAATGGAAGTTGTTGTTTTAGGGGACCCCCCCTTTTGCTTGGTGAAAGAAAGGGACGCCAAAAGGAACACCACCCATTTTTGAAATGGGCACGCCTATTCCGCATTTGTCTGGTCTTTTTAGGGGATTCTCAAAAGGGCATCGGTGTTCCTGCTGGTGTCATATTTAAACCTTTTAAGGGTGCCCCTTTATTTGTGGCCTTTAACAGGAAACCACGAGAACAAGCACATTTTTGCTTTGGGGGGGGGTTCAGGAAATCCCCCAAAAATGGAGTCATCCATATATTGGCCCTGTCAGAAACAGTCAATTCGCACATGGATCCTAAATCGTTGCTCATTTTCTGAGAAAACTCATGTTGTACCCATTGGTTGGGTACGCTGGCTGAGTCTTACTCGCTATATGCGCAATTTGGCGGGCACATTGGGGCCAAACTAGGTTTCCGACAAACCATATCAGGACTCACAAAATGTACAATGTCGCATGTGTTGACTGGTACTCATGTTGCGAACCGCACGCTTCTCAAACAGGTCGCAGCCAGCGTTACATGTCAACCCCCCCACATAGGATCATGGTTGTGTCCTACTTTCTATTTGGGTATCACGAACACTAGGTGAACGTCGATGTTCTTCAAAGAGGTCCACAGCTGGTGCTTTTAACCCACATTCGGGTGCCCATTTTGTTTGTTCTGAGAGAGGGGGTTCCCTTCAAGATCGACCACCCTAAAAGGTGCTGTGTAAAGGAATCACCCCAAGAATTCCACCTTTGAGATGGTTTCCACTACGCCCAAGCCGAAGCTTCCCCCAGGGAGTTTGATGGGATATATACCCTTAACGTGGCGGCCGTTTAGTGGCTACCAAGTAAACTCCGGGGGGTAGTGGTTGCACAGACCAGACTTAGGGCTCACCAGGAGCTCTTTTGACCTCGAGCTCACTATGATGTAGGTTATCCACCTAAGATCCGACGTCCACGGTTACAGCTCCAGGGCCACTAGTTGTTTCAACCACATGTTGTGTTACCGAAGGTCGCTTCCCCCATTCGTTGCACCCATCGTTTTTTTGACACACCGATATCTGTCCTGCTTTGGGTTTGGTTGTCGAGTAAAGTTGTCCATGTCTTCAACGATGGCCGTGCCTGTTTCAGGGGGGGGCACTCTTCTCGGGGTTTTGTAGGGATGCAGAGGGGAACCAACGCTGCTTTTCTTTTGGGGCTTTGCTGCGGAAGTTTCTTCGGACAGAGTTGCTTGCGCTTGGCGCATGTTCAATGTGTTGAGAGTTGTTGACCTTCCATTGCTGAAGGAACTCCTGAACCACCCATTCGAAACTCCGGGGGAAACAAAAGCAGCAGTTTTACGAAACGGCTAAAAGTTGCGGGTGTCCCAGGTATGTTTTGTTTTTGTTTATTCTCCCCTGTTGGTTTAAAGGGAATTATCACAGACACATGATGTTTTTTAGTTCCAGGGTGCTTAGGAAAACGGAAGTTCCGCGTCAGGTTGCTTTTTGGACTATATCCATTGACTACATTCGTGCGTGTGCGTGTGTGTGTGTGTGTCAAAATAGGGCCCCCCCAAAACAGTGGGAGTTCATCCTAGAAATTGTCCCCCAAAACACTTATATATGTCCTCTGCCGTCCACTAACCTGGAAGCTGACTGAGAGGTCCTGGAAGTTGTTTTTTGTTTTAATTGATTAATGGACCCTCTGGCGGGTTTCATGTTTGTGGACAGGAGGTACGTACATATATAATATGTACATAAATGTATCTACACATGCATATATAATATATCGACAGTATCTATATATGGTACAGCGTTGCCAGCCCCCCCCCCCCCCACCAATGGTCATGGGTCAGACAAGTACCCCCCCCCCCCTGTGGTTGTGGTCCTGTGGTTGGGTTGTGGTGGTTTAGGGTTGGTTTAGAATTGGTTTAGGGTATATTTAGGGTGTATTTAGGGTTAGTTTAGGGTTGGTTTAGGGTTGGTTTATGTTGATTTAGGGTTGGTTTAGGGTTGGTTTAGGTTTACGGTTTAGGGTTTGGTTTAGGGTGTATTTAGGGTTGGTTTAGGGTTAGTTTAGGGTTGGTTTAGGGTTGGCTTAGGTTTAGGGTTTATTGTTTAGGGATTGGTTTAGGGTGCATTTGGGGTTAGTTTAGGGTTGGTTTAGGGTTAGTTTACGGTTGGTTTATGTTGATTTCGGGTTGGTTTAGGTTTAGAGGTCTACGGTTTAGGGTTTGGTTTAGGGGGTATTTGGGGTTCGTTTAGGGTTAGTCTAGGGTTGGTTTATGGTTGGTTGCGGGTTGGCTTGTCCTGGGGGTGGGGGTGCCGGGGTGTCGGGGTGCGAGTTCAGGGGTCGGGGTGGGGGTGGGACCGTAGGTGACAGGATCCGGGCTCGGGTCTCGGGGGGGGGGGTCCTGGGGGACCCATACCATATGGGGGGGGGGGGGGGGTAGCAACACGGAACACGGGACCATATATACATATATATATATATATATGTATTTCCAAACCTGAACAAAGGAGTTACTTGCAGACCCTCGCCGGTCAGGTGCTCTTCCCATCGCAGGACGGGGCGAAACTCTTAGGTGGGAGGTGGATGAGGCGACGGGCCCGGATTCAGGGCCTTGTAGCTTCCATTTGGTGATATGAAATATGTTTGTTTCATTTTCCCTGGTTGGGTTTAAAGGGAATCCAATTCACTACTGGTTTTGCTTTCATTTTTTCCAGGCGGCGCAAGCAAATGGAAGATAGGCAACCGTCCGGTTTCTTGTTCCTTAGCCTTTTAGTTGGTTTAGTGGCAGGATTTCCGAATTTCACCCGCAAGTTAAACTTCTTGCGAGGGATCTAAAAACGCAGAACCCAGCAATGTAGGTGACATAGTGGCCGACAGGGCCTAAACTCAGCAACATCTCCAAATGTGGCCCTGTTGTCATGTCAGGGTTACGCCCGTTGGGCCCTGCGGAAGGCTGGCGTGCTGCCGCCAAAACAACTTGGCTTACGGAACTCTGAGTTCCGTTTCGGACTCTTGGATCATTTGAGTCCCTGTCCCAGGGGCACGATTCACCTTTTTGTTGTAGGCCACTAAGGGCTTGCCACCCTTTCAAAACCAAAAGGCACGTGGCTGGTTGCCCCACTAATTAGGGCACCTGGGATTGGCTGGGTAAAGCAAAAGTTTGGTTGGTTTGTGGCCCATCTCGATCGGCGAGTTGGTGAGAGGGTTACATTGTCCCCAATCCGGGCCCTGGGGCAACACAAAAACCGACGAGTGAGCACGCCCGCCCGAGCCGTGGTTTCCTACTTCGGTCGATTGGTCCAAGCTTTTGGTGAGAAACGGTAACCCAACTCGGTGATATCCCACAAAAATTTGTCCCCCTTGTTCATGTGGGGTGAAGAGCTTGAGTGAAGAATCCCAAGCACTTGGCGATCACCGCAGAAGAACAAACCGGGAGTCGAACATCCAAGTGCGACTCCGTGAGATGAAGCTTGATCTCAGACCTCTCACCGACAAGCACAAGCGCACGCTTGTTTTGGCCACCATGAGGTTATAAATGAGGTATGAACCTCCGAAAGTGGGTTTAGCGGGTGAATAACCCTAATGAGCAAAGTGAGGAGTCTTGGTTCAAAATAATGGGCACCCTGGTTGGTTGGTTCAAAATAGTGGGTGGCTGAATAGTTTAGTCATAAGCAAAGTGAGGACACGCTGGATGTTGTTTTTTTTGGGCGGGTGTTTCCGTTTTGGAGGCTCCTCGCTTTGGAGGGCGCGTGCCATTCGTTGCGGGGTCAACCTTTGTTGCCGCTGGCCATTCGTTTGCCCGGCGAACGGCCAGTGAGACTTTCCCTGGCCGCGTTGGGTTGAAACCCAGGCGACACGGCCGCGTGGGTGTGTCCCTTGGGGAAATTCGGAGGACCCTTTTGGGATTTGGAACATGTGAAGCAGCGTTCCTTTCTAAAAATTCTTGACGAATCCTGAGACGTGCTCCAAGAGGTGGCCATGTTCTTGATTTTTTAGCAAGGTTTCCTCTGTTTCCCTTTTTGGAAGCTCCCAAAGTGCCAATTTGAATTGGTGAATTGTGGGGAACCGTTCAGGGCTAGCTTCTGTGATTCCCAGGACAGAGTAGGTTTGTGCACAACCATGTCACTCGTCCTCAACGGATCTGTTTTAACGATGGCGAGCTCCGCCTCACTCTGGGTAGATAAAGGCTACTCAGGGACAATCCCAACCCCAAATGGGCGAAAGGTTGATTTTTGGTTGATCAATTCAATGGTTTGTAGAATCCCAACTGATGTTTGGTTGTTCTATTCAATGGTTTGTAGTAAATCCCTGTACCTGTCCATTTCACTCTCTACGGCGAGCCCTCCTAAAAAATCACCTACAAACAAAACCCTTCAGCGGAACGCCGGGATCGAAAAGGAGACCTCCCCGGTGTATGCCATCAAGTGCGCCGGCTTCGACGACAGGCGAAGGGCGAAGACGGGAGAGATCCGCCGCACACCGTTGCCAGTGATTCCCGGCCTCGTGGCCAAGGGACACAGAACCAATTGGCAAATGGTACCAGGGGACCACAGGTTGGGTTTAGTCTTGGTCCATTTACTTAATGCTCCATTTTGGGCACCTTTGTTATGTTTCACCCACAGCTGAATGGCAAAGGGTTACCACTATACTGGCTTGCCTGGGATCTGGGTGAAATCGTAGAGTATGCTCCTGAAGAAAATGCAGGACATGTATCAAGTAAATCATAAAGGTAAAAGGTGAAATCACCCCCATAATTTTGGGGCAACAACCAAGTTTTTATGGGTTGTTCGAGGGTTCAAGTACTGGATATTGTCATGTATTCTTTTTCCAGAGGCAAAGAGACACTGACCTTCCCTGCAAATTCATGCGAGCCGAAAAGGGGTCATTCCGATCCAACAAAATGCAGCTGTGTTGCAGAGGGGGTTCACCGTGTCAATGTTGATCAGAAGGAGATCTTCATCAAAAAGCACACCTGAGCCAATCATTCCCCAGGTATTTGGGGGTAGTAGGGACAATCCCAGCCATGAATGGGTGCGGCCGCCTTTCAAATTCTTTACATGGTTCTGGGTAGACCATTTTAATATCAGATTTTGATTGTGACTCACCTCAGTTCAAAGGCCCCATAATAGTACACACGGCCGCCTGAATTGTCCATCGCTGGGCCAACGAGACAGGGGCCTGACTCATGTATCGAAGTCCGTGGTTCCAATAAATCCATCCGAGATAGACAATGCTTGAGTGTCAAAAATGGGGTTTGGACCACCCACAATGGGCCTCCCTTTTACCTCCATTTCCGTTTCAGAAGACTTGCTTTTCTCCCTGGTTTTACAGGACATCTATCACTACTGGACATTTGTTTGTCCAGGGGATTGAAGCAAAATGGAGGTTTAGATTCCCTTTCAAACCCAACAAATCTGTACCGAGCCTCAGAAAGCACGCTCGCACGCGCACGCACTCACGCACACGCACACGCACGCGCTTGTAGGGCAAACATGCCAATCACCTTGAAAGGGTTGGTGCGGATTTCGACCCCCAGAAATCTCCATTTATGGCTAGGTCCCCCAGTAGTTCCCTTTTACCGACTTTTTTGGGGGAGGGTGAAACCCTACTAAAATAGACTGCAGAAAAAGTAGGTCCCCTTATTCTAACCTCTCTACTGGAGGACCTGATGGTAACCCGTTCTTCCCATGCCTAGGGCTTCAAGAACCTGTAAAAATGTCGTACCCTGACTAAAACATCGTGTTTTTTTCACGATTTTCTGAAAACATCGTGTTTTCAGGAAAAACATCGTGTTTTTGATTGAGGCCAAACACTCATTTGGAGCAAAGGGTCAAAGGCAAGGGTCGGGAGTGGATTCACACAGACATCACCCATTAAGATTTCAACTGAGGGCAACGCTCTATATTGAGTATGCTTCAAATTCTAAGGACCACATTGATGAGCCTGACAGCCAGGGTGTGCAGCTGGCTTCAGTCTTGAAGTACCTTTCACAGCAACAGGCACCTGAAGACTGGCGCCAGGTCATACCGAACCAGTTTGAAGGGGGTGCTGGAATCCGAAAGCTCCTTTTGGTGAAAAACAAGACCAGGTGACACTTTTGAGATTGTTTTTCTCAATTTTGAGTTGTTTTTTAGACAATGGGGCGGGATCCTGGCGGCTAACCGCAGAAACCCGTAGAAAACCCGTAGAAACCCATAGAAAACCCGTAGAAACCCGTAGAAGGCCCGCAGCCCCAACCGAAAACATCGTGTTTTTGGAAAACATCGTGTTTTCTAACCCGTAGCTAAACCGTGGAGAACCCGTAGTAAAGCGTGGCAAAGCGTGGAAATTCTATGGGTTTTTCGGGTTCAACCACGAATGCGCTAATTCGAGAATGTTGCTGGAAAACAACGAAGTCGTGAGCAAAAGCACGGTCTTTGCTTGAGCTTGCGCGCTGTTCGAAGCCAGCACGCCCTCATCATGGCACTGCTGCTTGACAAGTGTCATAAAACCGTTCTACTTTTGACTATTTGGGTCCCCGGCCTCCTTCTTTCAGGTTGGAGTTGCGAAAGACGAGTGGCGAATGCGAAGCTGATTTCGTTGCGAGTGCAAAAGGGGAGGGCGATGGGAGATTCTGAGGTTAAGATGATGCTTTTGAGATCTTTTGAGAACGGATGACGAGTTGAAGGAATGTATGGGAAACTGCTTGAAATCGAAAATGCGGTGTTTCCCGAAAACATCGTGTTTTCCCAAAAAACATCGTGTTTTTTGTAGGTATGACATTTTCATCGGTTTTTGAGGCTCCTGGTGGGGGAATACTGGATCAATGGAGTTGGGGGCCTTAATTACGCCCCCGCCAGGCTGGGCAGCGTGAAGGGCATGTACGGCTCCGGCACTTACTTCGCAGACATGGCCAGCAAGGCGGACCAATACGCCGGCCAGCGCCGCGGCAGGACTCGCTCGCGTTTTTTGGGTCCCCTTCGGAGGATTCCGGGAAGGGACGACTTGGGTCCCCCTGTTCCACGGCCCAAAGCGGATTGACCGGATCGGTTTTGGTTGGAGGTCTCCATGGCCCCAAAGGGCGAAGCGAACGGTTCCATTTGTCCCTATTGCATGGTTGTTGTTGGGAAACATTTCTTCCATTTTTGATCTTATTGTGGTTTAGTGGAAAATCCCCACTTAACTGCTAAAATTCATTTTTGTTGCTCCCCTTCCAACGTCAACGTAACGTCAACCAAGATTCAGGGGGCTCTCAACATGGGACTTGTGATTGGCGTCAGTTGGAAGCCAAACGCACCCAGCCCTTCGTTTGGTTGTCGTTCCACTGCGGAAGCAGCGAAACAAGCAATTTCACCCATGTAGATCCTCCTGGTCCATTTCTGATTTCAGGAATGGACCCTTCGCCGTCATTCGGCACATTCTGCTTCCCACATCTCCCCAGTCCCGTGGGCGTGGTGCGGGGCAGCAAGACCACAGTCCAGTTTTATTCCCTGATGCTTTGGGGTAAATGTCCTGTCGCAATGCTGAGCTTCTCTACCAACCAACAGGCCATGTAGAAGTTTGGGATTTTTCCGGGTCAAGGTACAAGGGGCCTATTACTTGGTTGTTGTTGTTTTTTTCAACGCCTTTCTAATTATTTAGGCCCTGGTACGGCTTGGGTCCGTGTGCGACGAAGCTATGCCACCAAAGAGCGTGTACACTTTGTAGGGGAGCACGAGGCGGAATCAAGTGGACGATCAACCCACATTCTAGGATTGTGGGAAGTGAAAAATGGTGGTCCCGCTAGAGGGGGGAATGTAGAGGGGGGAAATATGAAGGAACCAAAACAAACAAGGGAACCAAAACAAACAAGGGAACCAAAAAAAATACTACATTAACCCTTTTGGCCCCCTCAGAATACTGGTGCCTCTGTTTTTCCTTCAATGCAACTCCGACTTTCGGGCGGCCTCAAAATCGACATCCCTTAGTATTGTCGCGTGTGGGTCAGGCAATTCCCGCAAAAGCCGCCACATGTTGTTCTTCATTTGAGGAATACTTCCATTTGCTTAAGAATATGTTGTTATTTTCCCTTGTTGGTTTTAAAAGGAATTTATCACTACTGGATATATATTTTTTAGGGGGTCTTAACCAAATGGAGGAATATGTCTGACAAGCAGAAACTGGCTAGCAAGCTTTGCATTCAAAATCAAAGCCCGGTATTTCGTTGTCTTGGCTTTGTCTCAAAGCCGCAACCGAACAGCGGCTCAGCCGAACGCGTGGGGCTTCCATCAGTTTGCAGCAGCTGGTTTGGAGGTGAGGTTGGTAAACCCCCAGAAACACGCTTTGAGAGGGGAAGCCTAATCGCCAAACTAATACAAGCCACATGTACAGGGCAATCCTAAAGTTGTTGGCAGTTTGAGTCCAGTCTGTTTCCTATTAATCTCTAGCGATCGAGACTCACCAAAAGGTGTCAGCTGCTCATGACACGAGAGCTAATAAGACGACCAGTGGCACTCATCCTGTTTCAAGCATGAACACACGGTTTAACATGACATGATCCACTAGCAGTGCAGAAACCCTCAGTTGTTCAGTGGCACCCTTTTACCTTTTTGTTTGGTGGCTGCCCCACTAAAAATGGTCCAAGCCCCAAAAAAAGGGTTCCCTTTTTTTCCCAGGGTCACTGAACAACTGAGAACCTAGCGTGTTTCAACTGATCCCCGAGATGAGACGACGGATTTCTGGCTCGACTTGTGCCCAGGTACAATCAGAATGGCCAGGCTCGGCTTCGGTGCTTGGTTCCCCGTTGCTCAACGCGTTTTTCCGTTTGACCCAACAAGGCTCCTTAAAAGACCGATACATTTTGCAACCATTTGAAACATGTGGCTTTTTTTAACACCAAAATAAAGGGAAGCCACCATTTACAAGTTGCAATGTTCAGGTGTATAATGTAAGGACTGCCCAATGAAACTTTGAACAGGGCATCGAAAACGGAGCGAACGCCCCAGAATTGAACGGAACCGTTTTGATAGCGCGCCCAGCTTTTGGTAGATGGTTTGCAAGGTTAGTCAGCCTTGCAGTCGGCTTTGCACAGTAGAGATTTTTGTTGCGTGGGATTCACGGTACTTTAGCAGTACAGGTTTGCTGACCAGTTCAATGCAACTGGCAGTCTTACAGTTAATCCTAGCGGTTCATCTGAAGGGTTTGCAAGGTTTAGTCCTTTTTGAAGCCAAGTAAGTAGTAGAATTTGTCTTTTACGGCCCGTGTTGGGTGTTTGTTTGTGTGTGTGTGTGCACTGCTTCTTAGGCAAACCCATCGTTCTGTTGTTGGTTTGCTATATGCCCATCCACTCACATGGAAACATGGGTTGGTCTCAAAACAGGAATCGTTCCAAACAAAACTTGCAGGGGCTCTTTTGGTTTCCCTTTCAACCAAAAGGGGGGGTGCCCCTGCCCCCCCCCAAACAACAAACAAGAACAACACTGAAGCACTTTTTTTAACCTGCGAAGCAAACTGTCCGAAACCTGGGCCATTCATTCTCAGCTTCTTAGGACAAAAATGGTGGCTTGCCACATGCCACAAGGATCCGAGGACTTTGAGACATGGATCGTGTGAGTTTCCGGGCACGCAGGCGAAGGAGATTTGGGTATGGGTCAAAATTAAAGCACCAGGATATGGACCGCAGGTTTTAGTCCTTGGTTCCATTTGCTAGAGTTCCAAAATGGATACCCATTTGTGAGCCACAGCCATTTTGGGGACAGATTTTGCAATTATTGGGATTCCCTTCCGAGAATTGCAAGAATTGTGGGTCTCGGATTCTGCAATTGTTGCAATCAGTTGACAGACCCAGATGGCGCAACTTTGAGGAAATCGCCCAATGTCTCTGGGGGTCGCAAAGTCCAAGACAAGATATTGGGTAGACGAAATATGGGCATGCAGTTTGAGGGACCCGAACTGGTGGACATCCCTTTTTTTGCTGGGGGGTTTGTGTCCACCAACCACTTTGCAGGGGTTCCTTATTTTTTCAACTGGCCACAAACCGAATGTGTGAAAACGGTATGTTCGACGTTGGCAACTCGCCACTCTTTGGCTTCCTCAGCAGGGGGCGATTTCGGATGTGAGCCATGAGCCATGGGCTGCGGAAAGGTGAGTAAGCAGTGTCGCACCGAGGGGTGTCCCAATGACGCTCACAAGCAGCCGCAGTTCGAGGGGCTGCTCGGAAGCGTCGGGGATGGGGGATGAGTTCGTGTTTCCTCAAGCCTAACCTTAGAGAACCCTAGAGAACCCTAAGGCTCTCTCTGTGTTCAACCAACGTCAGGTAAGTACGAACTAAGGTTATACCTGTAGCTGGGGTGATCGTCCCCCGATTTGCTCAGCAGCTTGAGCATCCAAGGAACCCTTTGGAACCTAAGGCGCTTCGCCCTTTTCGCCCTTTCGGCCGACCGCTACATGTCAGGAATTGCTACAGTTTGGCAAATAAGTTCCAGAAACTTAAGTGAATCTCCTGTGTCCCCAGCAACCGGAGGACGTCTCGATCGGAACTTTTTCCAGAGCCGGCAAACGCGCGGCAGAGACCCCACAGCTTTCAGCTGGTGACGAAAGGTACTTTGTGTTTGTTTCTTGTGCCGATACAAAAAGTGTTTGTTTGGGATCCAGGCCTCGGTTATTTTTCCTCGTGACTTTGGGTTCTGGTTTGGATCCAAGTCTTAGTCTTTCCCCTTTTGGCTTTCCTTGTGTGGCCCCAACTTTCAGCGTGCCGACCTTTTGGTCAGGCGAAGTTTGCTTCTTCAAGCCCAGCTTTGATGTTCAGCTTCTCTCGCAGCAAGTTTTGTCATCCTGAGGTTTTGCTGCTGGGGGTGTCGCCAGGGATGGGAGCACGGACCCTTGTGCACTGGCGTGCATACCGTGAAATGCTGGCGAAAGGACCGCAGAGGTTTTGCGATTCCGGTCGAATCATTTTGAGGAGTCCAACCATCAAAACACGAGGGCGCCCGGGTTAATGTTATTTCCCGCTGGATCCCAAGCAAGCCGCGGTAGGTAACCATTTGTCCTTTGGGGTTTGTAAATGGTGCTTTTTGTTGGGGTTATCCATTGCTTGCCCAGTTTCATCATCCAAATTAATATTAAATTAGGTCAATTTGCTGGGCGCTGACCCGGGTGAAAACAGCCTCTTGACGCGCCTCATGTTAATTGCTTTGGGTTTTTCTATGCCGATGGATTCCTTCCTTCAGGAGTGCCAAAAGATGAAGCACTCCAAGCAAGAGACGGGATACTGCTGCTGGGGCTGCAAGCTTGGTACAGGCTGCGGACCCGCCTGCGAGAACCGGCCCTTCATAAAAGAGGCTTCGGCAGAAGGTTTTCGTCAGCTTTGAATGAGCCGCCCAAAACCGGGTCCTGGCCATCCCCTTAGCTTTTTAGATCTTTTTAGGGCTTGGTGGGGGTGTCCATTTATCCCACTAAAAGTCAACTTTTAGCAGATGATCTGAGGAAAGTCAGTTGAGTAGGTGGGTCTACTAATTACCTGGTTTCATAAGGATTATAGTAAGGCTTATATAGAAACCTTTACAACCCTACTAGTAGAGAGTCAATAGGCTTTGGCCGGGCTTAGGGGTTTTTATCACCATCTTGTGAGTGATTCTTTTCGAGGGCTTCCCTTTTGGAGTGGATTTAAAGGGGGGGTCCCGTATTTTAACACACACAGGCCCATATCGTTAGTTTACGGTTTGGGTCCGTCTGCTATTGATGACACCCTTGTTGGGGTTGGTTCAAAGCCAGTAGAAACACATCGAAATTTGCACGTTCGGGCATACCCTTATTTTGAGACACGCATTGCATCTTGGCTGCGATGATGGGTCAAAATACCAGCTGGTGTCGAGTGGTAAATCGGTTCCAAGAAACTGGGGGGGTTCCTCCACTCCGGGTGGGTTCCTTTTGGTGTCCCTTTCACTGCCATCCAGTGAGGGAAAAGCGCCCACCATTTTGAGAAACTAGATCTCTATTCATGTTTGAGTCTGTGTTTTTGTTTGGATCCTTAGACTTTGGCTTTTCGGGCAATGGATGGATTTGTCCCACTGAACAGAAGTCAACCATACTTCTTGCATGCAAGGATGGGGCATCGAAGGATCTGCTCACGCATAGAACCCGCTTGTGCGAAGGTGCCTGTAGCTATCTTGTTTGCAAACCGGTTCATTGGGGTTGCAGCCTACACATGTTTCTAGGGGTACCTTCCCCATTCTTTTCTTTTCAGGAAACCATCAATAACCCAGGGGAAACAGATCCGGTTTTTCAAAAGAACGATGGTTGAAAGGAATGGAAAAGGAATCAACCCCTAGAATATTGTTTGCCCCAACCAGACAGGTGGGTCGTTAGATGTTTCCAGCGATCCAAGGACAAGCCGCAGCCACAGCCGAAGCCCAAAGCGGAGCCGAAGCCGACAAATTCTGAGGTGGAGATGCCTGTGGTAGTGGCTGTGGTCATTTCACAGGAGATCATTCCGGGGCAAAATGCAGGATGGGGCCCAGAAGCACATAGCGTCGCCTTATTCTGCTGGGGCAGGGTAGTAAGTTGTTAGTGAGCCTGGTGATAGCCGACGTGCAGGAGTTATAAGGAAAGTAAGTGGGTTATAACCAAGCTTAACCAGGCTCCTTTTGGTTTCTCAAACCTGAAACGGGCAATGAGCCTCACCCAGTTGATCGTGCTATCCAATGGCCCAAACTCGCGAGCTCAGTCGACTCGGTGCAACGCACAGCTGGCCAAAACCGAATGACGAGCAGGGTTGTGGGATCACTCGGGGTTTCTCCAACCACTTCTGTGATACAAGGGAGTCCCTCTTTATATGAAGAAATAGTCTTCGGGGTTAGGCCCTTTCTGTTGTATCACAGTGGTCATTCCCCACAGCCCTGCTGAGGAGAATGCGAATGAGAGCAATGAAGGCATTCCGGGCTTCATGGGCACTTGCTCACCGAACGCCACGGCTTGGGCTTCAGTTTGTCAACCTCATCCTGCGACTCAGAGGCAGACGCGCCTTCCCGTTTTGAACTTGTGGGAAACGAGATGGGAGCAAAAAGCAAGCCATCCACTCAGGAACTGATGGAATTCTTGGCTTCCCCTGTGTAGCCGCCATGTTCAGTGACCCCCGTGTGGCTGATGAAGTGAGGTTCCTTGATGTCCTGGAGACTCGTGAGAAACATGAGCTTGTTTGGGTGCTTCTCATGGTGGACCTCTTGTGGTCGGTGTTTAAAGGAAAACTGAAAGGAGCCATTTGTCACAGGACATTCATTGATTCCTGTTGCGAGAAACACCCATTTCCCGGTTTGCTGAGATCAAGTGAGCAAATTTTCTATGTATAATAGTTTACGCCCTTTTGTTTTGCCTTGAGTTTGGATGTGTTTTTCCATTTGGATTCCATGTCAAGCCCGTTGGGAGAAACGGGCGCTGCTCAAGTGAGGTCACCATCGAAAATGGTATGATCTCCGGCGTTTGGGCCAATGCCCCCACGCTGTCGCCTAGAAGCAGAGTTCCTGGCGATCTGATCCCGACTTCTCTGAGGCCTGGCAAGGTTTGGACAAGCGTTGCTTAGATTCGAGCTACGTGCTCAAAACCGATTCGGGTAGATGAAGGTTAGTAAGGCCCAATCCCAGCCACAATTCGCTGCGGAATTCCGCCTTCTTTCTTTACGTTCTGGGTTCACCATTTTAGTGCCCGGTTTTGATTGTGGCTCAGATGTTCGATTCGCCAAGTTCGTCCCTGTGGTTAGCCAGTTGTGGTATACCCCCCCGAATAGCAAGTAGACGAGGGCCGGTGAAGCCCCCGTCTCAATAGCAAGGTTAACCACACTGAACCGGGGGACTTCTGCGTGGGTTGCAACTGAGCAGCTACCGTTACAACGTACGTTCACTTGACGAATCGAACGCCCAAGTACCTTTAGGTTTTGGGGGGACCCCCTTCTTGGTTGGTTGCAAAGGGAAACCAAAAGGCAGCCGACCATGTGGGGGTCGCTCATGTTAAGAACCCAGGTCCAGTCCGCAGTTTAACATGAAACCCAGAAAAAGAGGATACTAAAAGGAGACGCCTGTCATGGCGTCTTTGTTGGTTCCCTGATTGTGTGGGAGCAAACCACCCACCAGCCTCCTTTCTGTTTTCCCACCAGAGCCTTTTGAACCAAGGTCCCGCGGGGCAAGCGATCGAAGCAATGGCTGACAAAGTTGTGGAATCCAGACGCTCCTTGGATCCTGTAAGCCCGAAGCTCCAGTGCCCATAGCTTTCATCGGTTTGTTTGGTATTCCACTGGTTTGGAATGGTGTTATGCACCACCTACACACCTATGTTTTGGAGGGGGGGTCCCGTGGGATGGTTGCGAACTCCAAAAACCGCGCCACCGAAATGTAACCATGGGAATGACACCATTGCTGGTTGGAAATTATTTACAGGTTGGTATGGAGTCATTCCAGGGTCTCTTGGGTGGTGCAGGATTTCCTCCATCAGTCGGTCTCCTTTTGATGGGTTAGTTGGAGTAGTAGATGAGTTTCACTGGTTTGGATTTGTTTTAGGCCTCAATTACCAGGGCCATCATCTAGTTGTTTAAAGGGTCACCTGTGGTGGTGCCATCAAAGCAGCCACCAAAACGGAACTGATGCCCACGACGCTGCAAATTCTTAGGCTCTTGAGCAAAGGAAACCAAGGTGGTCAAAACCAACGCGACGGAGTTGTTTTTTGATTTTTGGAGCGTTTGAGAGTCTCAAATGGTTTTTATTTCTGGACCATTTGAGGGTCTAGTCTCTTGCTTCCTAAATTTTCTTATCACACGGGCCTCAGTTCGAAACCTCTTTCACCTTACCCCCCCTTGACAGTCAGACAGAGGAGCTGTTCCAAACCTCTTTTTTTGGCACGTCACCTTCGGATCGAGTCTCCGATCTTGGATGTAACCTTTAGACTGGAAAAAGGACCTGTTGCCTCGCAGCTTCATCCCCAAAAGTTGTTTCAGGGTTAGGATATGGCACAGGATCGACTTCCGACCTTGTTACATCGGTTCCACTGGCTCACTCGTCCGACCGCGGCTGGATCCCCGGCTGGCTGGGCTGAAGTGGCGCTTAAGTTCAAGAGGCAGCTAGGTCAGGTGGTTCCAGTCGTAGTGCCCTTTTACCAACTTTTTTGGGGGAGGGTTCCCCTTAAATAGACTACCGGAAAAAGGTACCCTTGTTCTAACCTCTCTACTGGAGGACCTAGTCTAGAACCCGGACTCAGAAAGCTTTCCTGAACATGATTGGTCTGCTGGTTAGGACGAGGGGTCTCCCAAGTTCCCCGACGCCCAAGCTGATCTCTTTTATAACTAAACTATGTGACACGGGGTCCACCTTTGCACCATCGAAGATCTGCCTGGGTTGCTTCAAGTTGCTGAACCAAACACTGTTTACTTTCTCCTCTTGGTTTTAAAAGGAATCTATCACTACTGGACATATTTGCTCATGGAGGACGAACAAAAGCTGCGTAAGTGGCTAGCCATTTTTTTGTGGGCAAGAACCGAACGTTTACCGCTACAACTTACCAACCTTGTCAAATTGAACACCCAAGTTGTGTCAACACAGGACAGCCTCAAAAAGTCGTGGAACACCCTGCTGGTTTCCCTCGTGATCCACCAAACAGGTACTACCCGTTAAAAGGATGCTACACGTTCTACAAAAGGTCAACAGCCTGAACAAAGTCCCAGTGCCCAGCACCCTTTTTTCTGGTCCTTGAAGGAATCGGATCCCTTACCCCAAAAAGGTCGAAGGGCGGAATTGATTCACTGCCTACATGAGGTCTTACGTAAAGGACATGTTTTATCAACGGGGCCTAGTTGTTTTTTCTTTCAAAAACGCCTTCCATACCAGTGCGTCTTTTTTTGAGTTGGCACCCCCGTTCTCAGTAACCGAAAAGGGCCAACTGCCTCTTTTTTTTGAGGAGGGGGGGGGGCGTGCAAACCTTTAAAAAGACACACCCTTCCATATGCTTCTTTCTCAGGATCCCTTATGTCAGGCTATTTGGTAAAACGTGCACCCATAGACGGCCTTGTTGGGCGAGTTTGGTCGAACCTAGACAGATGGTAATTCAGCTCAATTGCCAGTGCTCTTCAGAGGACACCCAGTTGGTTATTCGCGTAGCGTTGGTTGGTCAGTGCGAATGATCCTTCCGCAGGTTCACCTACGGAAGCCTTGTTGCGACTTCTCCTTTCTCTAAGTGATAAGGTTCATGAAGCTTTCCAACGCAACGTCCAGAAGCTGAGCGCTGCATCAGTCCGAATTATTCACCGGATCACTCAATCGGTAGGAGCGACGGGCGGTGTGTACAAAGGGACACTTGTGTTTTGAACACGTTTGTTCCCTTGTTTGTCAAGGGAAACAATACACGGACCCCAGGTTTCCCACTTTTGCTTGCCGAAGTGAGGATCAACAGCCGCTGCCTTTGATCAACATTGTGGTGTGAGTTTCGCTGGCGGAACGAGTTGATTGCGCCATTTTCCCTCAATTCCGTGAAGTGCCAAGCAAGTCATTTCGATTCGCATCACTGGGGGTTCGGGCGACTGTCTGGCAAGCACGACCACTCAGCTGGCGCTGATCGTTGCCCTCTGAAACTTTGCCATAGGCAGACGCTTCACCGGCACACAGTTTGGAGTTAGCTTGTCGTGTCCGTGACACTCACTTGAGCTGCTTGAAAAGAGGTGAGAGGGAATTGTGCCGGCTGAATGCATGAACCCATAGGAACACTTTCTACCAACCCTGAGTTTAATATAAGGAGTGTCCGCGAAAACGTGACCAACCGAAACAGGTACCTCAACGAGAACATTTACATCACATGACCAGAAGAACGTCTCTGAAATCACTCATTATTGGTTCATCAGCCACTAATTATATCCTGGCTTGATTATGGAGAAAGAGTCATCAAAGGATCCAAAAGACCATGGGTTCATGTACGGATCTATACAATCAGCCTTTGCAAAATAGGTACCTGCGGCTCGCACTGCCATCTCATTTGTTTACGGCGAAAAGGGAAAGCGGATTGGTCCGGGAAAGCGGATTCTGTCAGCCAATGTTGAATCATTGCCCAAGCGATTCATATGATTGATTGTTTTCAGCATCCTGTTTGCTTGCTGCCCGGCTTCTCTGCAGCTTTCTTATTCATGCAGGGAGTTGTTTCTATGTATGCATCATGCAAGTCGTGCGCTTAAAATTGCTCTTGTGAGTCATGTGGTGGGTGAAACCACTTGCGATTTGGTGAACATGTGAGCATCAACATTTCTGTCATTTACCATAAAGGGGATAAAGCGATGTCAGTTGGCCGTGTTTTCGATTTGGCCGCTGAAGGTCAGATGTGCCCACATGTGTGCTCGTCAAAATAGGGGCGCCAAAAAATGAGGTTCGCTGTTCCGTCTGACTTCCCTTACAACCAACCTTCGGCTACCCTCAAAACGCAAGTGTTGGGACTCCTTTGGAAGTCTTGGCGTGTTGAATATGACTCTTCTCAGCAGTCAGCCGCAGCTGTCAGCGTTTCAGAAGTGAAAGCCGAGAATTCCTGCACCGCTCGGCGGATGTTGTCCCCCTGGCTTGATCCATGATCAGATCGGCTCGGCTAAAATTCCGGAGGGGCTGACCCCAGCCCCTAAGGTCTGTGTGAGACCTTCGGAAGCTTGTTCGTCTTTCAGGCATTTGCCATGTTTTCAACCTGGCAACAGTGGCCCATGGCTGGGGAAATTCCAGCCTTCTGAGACCGGCCAAGGACAGGGCTTTTTAAAGGCACAAAAAGGGATTCGGGAACCCTTAGATGCAATAAGTAGACGAAGCATTCGTGCCCACACCACCCCAAATCCCGGGCAATTGTGAGGACCTGGGGCAGCAGACAAGCATCCTTTTGGTTGTCATGTCAGAAACAAGAAGCACATGGCAATTACCCTCAAAAATGCCACACCCATACAGCCTGGCAAAAATGCGTCGAACAGCAAGTGACGTTGCATGGCTGGACTTTTTGACCGCATCCCCCCGGAGACATCCGTGGAAAATGAATATATATACCTACAAAAGGCCCTTTTGCAAAGTCTTGTAACAACCCAGCCTGGGAGTGGTTTTGAAGGAATTTCAAAGTAGGGAAATCCATACGGTGCGGCATGGTGCGGCCAATGCCTACATGATTTCAATGGGTTTTGGCGGAAACGTTTTGCAACCACAATTTAGTCATGATTGGGTATTTTTGCACCGTTTTTATGGGTAGTTTTGAGAATCGGTCCACGTATGCGCTGGTCGATGAAACATATACGCCCAGTCGAGTCGCGAGTCGCCTGACGCCTGCCAGGGCAGCTTGGGAGAGAGGGCCACCATGTTTCTGAGCCGCGTCACGCTGGGTTGTGCCTCGTCGTCAAAGTTACGAGTCGTTTGTCGATGGGCTCAAGCGATTCGCTTCAAAAACCGCATCGGTTTCAATCGGATTTGGGCCACCCTGAGGGAAAGGAGGGTTATGGGTGTGAGGATTCTCTTTTTGGTTGCTGAATCGAATCTCCAAATAGCAAAAGGATGTTGCTTCAAGAAGAGTTGTTTGAACATCTTTACGGGTGGCCCAGCGTCTCGGATTCTTTTGGTTGCTCTTTGACCGAAGCAGCTTGTCCAGGTCCCCCAGTAGTGCCCTTTTACCCTGATTTGGGGGAGGGTTCCCCTACTAAATAGACTAAAGACAAGTTGGTTCCCTTTTTCTATCCTTTTCACTGGAGGGCCTAATTGTTTTTGCATTCTCTTCGTGAAGTGCTGTTGTCAAGTGGACAGGGCTGAGCAGTGGACTGCTGGTCGTTGTGGAGAGGACATGAAGGGCAAACCCATGTCATCTATGTTCTCAACATAATACAGGAGCTGACATTGGCTTCGGATTAATCCGGAGGACCCCTGCAGTCAGGGACCCCCCCCAATAATATAGTAAAAATAATGATAGTAGTAATAGTACAAATCAAATAACAATAGTAATAGATCAGTTCCCTTTATAGTCCGAGGTCAACATTGGTCAACTGAACCAACTGCACTTGGATCGGCCAAGTTAGCATGTGGTTAGCTATGTGAGGTGTAACCTGCTAATAACAAGTTGTTACCCCCCACATTTCACGGGCGGGTGCGTGGGTTACCGAAGCGGGCTTCGCTCGTTCTTTGCACCTTCCGAAAGGCGTCTTTATCCGATTCGGGTCCTAACTGCTTGGGATTTCTGGGCGAAAGCCGAACAAAGTTGGGACATGGGTGCTGCTAGGAATTTTCTTTTGTTTCTTTGGGAGTTCCAGAATCTTTGGTTGAAGAACATTGTGTGTTGGCCAATTCTTCGCCACTAATTGTCCGGGCAAGATGGGGTGTGCTTTATTCATGTGGTGTTTGTGGAGTGGTTGGGCGGCGGGGAGGGTGCTCTAGCGGTTTCCAGGGGAAGCCTTTTTTGACTAAGGTGAGTTAAACCAGTTGTTCATTTCTCCTTGGGGAAAACTCCTAGAGGTTTCTGCTTGTCTTGGCAGTCAAAATCTGGAAAGTTTGGATTGGTGGTTTGGATTGGTGGTTTGGATTGGGGGTTTGGATTTGGATTTGAACCCATTGTTCTTGCGGGCAAATGGGAATCCACACCACCAATTGGAAGGAACCTGACTGGTGATTTCCCAACAAAACGGGGAAGAGCCACCAAAATCGCGTAGAACTCTTATCCCTGGTCTGCCTCACACTAGAACCCTGAGCACCTGATCTTGGGTCTTTTTCGAGGGTACCCCCATGGTGTTTAAAGGGAAACCAGGAGGAAACCCGAATTCATTGCCTCATTTTTTTCCTGCGGCGGGTCCAACCTACAAATAGAAGAATACCCAAATATGAATGTTGTCAGCTGCCGGAAAGTGCCCCTTCCCAGAAGTGGAGATTGGCAGGGTGTTCTCAGGGAACTCACCTGACGAGAAGCAGGAAGCCATATCTCACCTATTGCGGGGCATAAAGCCTTGAACCGTTTGTTGCCGTTTTGCACGGTTTCAAAAGTCCTTGATATTTTCAAAAGTCCAGGGCAACCAAAAAGTAAAAAGCAATTTAGGCAAAGGGAAGCAGGAACCTGACCCATGGGGGTCCATTTCCTCAGCTGACACGGCCCAGAACCCCCTGGTGATTTCAAGCTCGAAAGGTGGCTGGGTCAACTATAGCAATCTCTGAATTTGAAGGACCCATGAATATCCTGTCTTCAGGCCATTTCTTATATTTCATAGTTGTGTTTTTCCTTTTGATTGATTTGCTCTCTTGTTTGGAAAGATCCTTGTTTTGGACATCCTTGTTGAGTTTCAAGACTTCGTCGCCTGGCACTTTCGCCCTGGGTCCATACCGTGGGCTTTGTGGTCCGCTTTGGCCAGGAAAAAGGGACCTGAAAGTGGCACCCTTTCCACATAGAACCGTTCGTCGTCTGGGACCCGGTCCCTTCAAAATGAGAGCTTGGTCCAAACCAGGATGCGCTCGAACGGAGGGTTCCGGCGGTTGATCGGAGCCGTCTGGCCAAGTTGGCGCCAAATGTTGACCCCAGATAGATCCCCTGATCCCCTGCTTGAATAATTCGGGGAGGGGTCCCCTTTAAGTGCGGAGTCAAACCACTTTTTGGAGAGAACACAAACGCACGGGGGTCAACATTACCCCACAGGAAATTGAGGTATGATACCTCATCTATGACTGGAGGGCACTTGGATGTTAGATTCGCCAAGTTAGTAAGTGGCTAAACAATTGTACTCCCCCCAATATATGGGTAGGGCTCCAAGTGGAGGGGGTTCCCTGAACCACCCCAAAGAAAGAGTTCTGCTCGAATTACAGGTTTACCCTGAAAAACCGTCTCCTTCCTTTTTCGGAAAAGAACACGACCCACCGAAGGTGCATTTGGAGGCAATCCATGGGTGCTCCATAGCAACCACAACTCGTTTCTATTTACCAGCGAAACCAAAGGTCCCCCCCCCGCAAGAAATGTGGTTTTCCTGCTGCATGGCTTCTTTTTAAAACCCACTCCAAACGGGGTACCTTTTGTCTCCAAAACGATTTGGCGACAACCAAAATCACTTGGTTTCCCCTGGCAGCTGCACAAGCCTGCTTTCCCCTGGCTGTGGTTTTCGGAGAAAACCACGGCCTCCCACACTAGAGGACGATTGGCCCGAAAGCATTTTTCCACAGGCGCTCATCCAGCCGCGGAGACACCTTTTTACATCGCTGCGGCGAGCGTGTCTGCGCGCGGCGATGCTCAGTGTGTATGGTCACATGAGAGCTCCATCTCATCATCCTACTTTCCTCTCGAACTGCGCCGCGCGATTTCTCACGAAAGTGGTCTGCGCAAGCTGCATTGTTCCAGGCTGCTGCGCGCAAGTTGCTCTCTGCAAGCTGCTGCACGCTGCTGCACGCAAGTGCTCTGTGCAAGTTGCTCTGCGCAAGTGCTCTGAGCAAGTTGCTCTGCGCCAGTGCTCTGCGCCAGTTGCTCCGCGCAAGCGCTTTGCGCATGTGCTCTGTGCAAGTTGGTCTGTGCAAGTTGCTTGCCCGCGCAAGCGCTTTGCGCATTGCTCTGTGCAAGTTGCTCTGCGCAAGTGCTCTGAGCAAGTTGCTCTGCGCAAGTGCTCTGCGCCAGTTGCTCCGTGCAAGCGCTTTGCGCATGTGCTCTGTGCAAGTTGGTCTGTGCAAGTTGGTCTGTGCAAGTTGCTCTGCGCAAGTGCTTTGTGCAATTGCGCTGTGCAAGTTGCTCTGTGCAAGTTGCTCTGCTGTGGGAATGTACTTCGCGTACTATTTTTGTACTTAAAGTTGCGATTTTCCAGCCTGAGCTGCGGGAGCACGCTCCGCATACTACGTCTGTACTTAAAAGTTGCGATTTTCCAGCCGGAGCTGCAGGATTACGTCTGTACTTAAAAGTTGCGATTTTCCAGCCGGAGCTGCAGGATTACGGTCCGCGTACTACGTGTGTATTTAAAAGTTGCGATTTTCCAGCCTGAGCTGCGGGAGCACGCTCCGCATACTACGTCTGTACATAAAATCGAACCCGCGACCGCGGGATTGCGAAAGCAGGCACGCAAACCACGAGACAACTTCCAAAGGCCGTTTCGCGAGCAAGAAAATTGCACGGCGCCACAGCGAGAGCGCTTCGACACGCACAATCTCCGCAGAGGGTTCGCCGAGACTAAGACACATTCGCACGGCGCCACAGCGAGAGCGCTTCGACGCGCACGATCTCCGCAGAGGGTCGCACGCGCACCGCAGAAATCGTAAAAAGTTCTCAGTTTTTGAACCTCGACCGCGCGCATCTCCGCAGAGGGTCGCGCGCGGACTGCAGAAGTCGTAAAAAGTCCCCAGTTTTTGAACCTCGACCATGCGAATCTCCGCAGAGGGTCGCGCGCGGACCGCAGAATTCGTAAAAAGTCCTCAGTTTTTGAACCTCGACCGCGCAAATCTCCGCAGAGGGTCGCGCGCGGACCGCAGAAGTCGTAAAAAGTCCCCAGTTTTTGAACCTCGACCACGCGAATCTCCGCAGAGGGTCGCGCGCGGACCGCAGAAGTTGTAAAAAGTCCTCAGTTTTTTGACCTCGACCACGCGAATCTCCGCAGAGGGTCGCAATCCCGAGCGACGATCAAACTCCCGCCCCGGCGCCTTAGAAACCTAAGCTAACTTACATAGCTGCTTACGCCGAAGCTCTACGCAAGCTCTACCTAACCTTGGCTCTGTGCCACCTGGCTCTGTGTCACTTGGCTCTGTGCCACTTGGCTCTATGCAACTTGGCTCTATGTAACTTGGCTCTCTGTAACTTAGCTCTATGTAACTTGGCTCTGTAACTTGGCTCTATGTAACTTGGCTCTATGTAACTTGGCTCTATGTAACTTGGCTCTATGTAACTTGGCTCTACTTGGCTCTGTAACTTGGCTCTATGTAACTTGGCTCTATGTAACTTGGCTCTATGTAACTTGGCTCTATGTAACTTGGCTCTATGTAACTTGGCTCTATGTAACTTGGCTCTATGTAACTTGGCTCTATGTAACTTGGCTCTATGTAACTTGGCTCTATGTAACTTGGCTCTATGTAACTTGGCTCTATGTAACTTGGCTCTATGTAACTTGGCTGTATGGAACTTGGCTCTATGTAACTTGGCTCTATGTAACTTGGCTCTATTTAACTTGGCTCTATGTAACTTGGCTCTATGTAACTTGGCTCTGTGCAACTTGGCTCTGTGCAACTTGGCTCTGCGTAACTTGTCCAAGGGCTCCGCACGGAAGAACCCTTCGCGATGCTTTCGGGAAAACGTAAAAACTAAAAAGGCGGCGCCTTGGTGCGTGGGGCCGGCTTCGCGAACCCGCGAAACCCCTGCGGGATGTTTGGATTCGAGGCCCCTACACCACGAACCAGTCCTTGGAGCAGCTCCGGCGGCCCCCGTGCCTGCAAGGCGCGATTGCGCCTCGATCGGGGGATCGGTGGCCGCAGCTGGAAACCCGATGAGCGTGTCCCTTTTGTGGTTCAGGTTGAGGGAAACCAAGTGCCTGGTGGACAAGTCTTGGGGTGAAGGGTGGCAGCCATCGCATGTCCCTTTTTTGCTCAGGTTGAGAAGCAAAGGGCCCTGCCCAACGATCTTCCGCCATCGATTGGAGTCGCCAAATGGGCGACCCAGGCAAATTGGAAAAGGGTGTCAAATTCGAGCAACCCATAAAAGGTAAGAAATCCAAGTTTCACTACTTGTGTGTAGGTAAGAAATCCAAGTTTTACTACTTGTGTGTTCGATTCGCCAAGTTAGCAAGTTGTTGGTAGCCGTCATTTCTAGGGCTGAGCATGGACCCTTGGCAGCTCGGTGATTCCATTTTCCGGGCTTGGTAGGTAGTCAAGGGAGCCATTAAAAAGGAGACAATTCTTGGACGTTCAAGCAGCTTAGGAACTTGTAACGGCAACCGAACTCGGTCATAAGCCACAAAGATACGTCCCCCATGAATGATTCGGGGTTAAGCGGTTAACTGCATGGGTTGTACAAAAACCCAATTGGGCCACTTACCAAGCTTAGCCGGACATCCAATTGGATGTTCAAACCACTTAGTAGGTTGCAAGAATGGTTTTGGCTGGTTGGTAACTGGGGTGATCGTCCCCTTTCCATGGTTCTGACCTATGTACTAAGTAGCTTGAACACCCAAGAAGGGCTGGGTCCAGTCATGGCGGAGCCTTGAGTACAGCCTAGTGATTCATGATGTTGTGGGTAACCAAGGGTGGCACCCGTAAAAAAAGAGGTTGGGTGGAATCCGAGGATTTCTCCATGACTGCCGACAATTCTGGAGGTAACGACCATACCAGTCTGCCGTGTGAAAATAGGGGAACCTGCTGAAATGAATGTGTTATAAAGAAACCCCTGCTTTTAAAATGGATCTGTTAAAATCTCATTTTTTCCAGGGAACGAACTTGAGCAGATGGAAGACGGATTGTTCAACTTTGCACCTGGGTGTCCTGTATTTTCTAAGTGTAAGCAGTGGCTTGAAGTTGTAGGGCAAAATCAGGCCCTCATGTTTTTGCTTTTGAGGGTCGCTTTGAGAACGGGAAACCACTAGAGTCACCATGTGGGTCCGAAAATTTGGAGTGCCCAAAGGCAAAAAAAACATGGAACTGGAGAAAGTCGCTCCGTGGCCGGCCCTCCAAAATGGCCTTGGGTGCCCTGCAGGTGTTCTTTCGAAAGCACCAAAAAAAATACCGAGCCTCACACAATTGGACACCCCCTTCTTGGGCCATGATAGGAAGCTGGGCAAAGCTCCCAAAACTACTCAAGCGGCGCCGGGCTTTTTGTGGTGCTTCCAGGGCATTTCGACCTCAACCTCTTCTGGAACGAGGACGTGATGTACGGGCGGCCCTGGAAAGATAAGGCGGTGCCCGGCTCAGAGAGAGCCTTCGGGCAACTTCGAAGCAGTCGACTGGGATTTGCTCCCTGCTCGTTGAACCCCAAGAGTACCCAGAAAAAGAGCAAAATACAAAATCAGCACCCCCCTGCCCCCTTGATTTTCGCCTGGTTAAAATCCAAAGAATCGGGTGCTGAAGTTTGTTTTTGACCTAAGGCTTCGAATCGACCCGTCTTAACATCACAAAGTCGCGTAGCACATGTCGGCCGTAGCGGATGTGGCGCATCTCTGTGTTCGAAGTTGTATAAAACCACCAAACCCCATTGAACGGAGGTTTAAAACCCCTTCTATCACCGGCCAGGCCGCAAACAGCCCCGATTCGACTTGGTCAAATCCCCTGGTATCCTCGCAAAAAAAGGCGGCCCCCGCGGTGGTTTCCCAAGACCCAAGGCCCGGCGGGGAGGTTGGCTGCAGATGGTGCGACTTCGCAAGGTGCCATTGTGCATTTGCAGCCACGAGCGCTTTGACTCCATCATGGGGGACTTCTTCATCGATGGCCAAAAGAAGATGCGCGGGGCCCCGATTTTGGAGAGAATCCCAAGGCGCCAGCTGGCGATATTCAGTACCTGGATTCCGAAAGAACAACCCGACGAAAAATGGATTATTGCAACCCAACAATATGGGGCGACATCCCTTGTTTGTGGGTAGTTTGAGGGTCCAGGAATATTGATTTAGAGTCAACTCGCAAGCCATGGGACGGTGGCCCTTGGTGATTGATAGCCCCGAAGTGAGTCAACGGGCACAAAATCCATTTCGCACCAGTTGGGGTGGATGAGACCTATGAATGCTTGACCAAGCTTCACCTGCAGGGTTCTGGGAATCCCCCTCTTGTGCGATACCAATGGAAGGCCTTTCATATTACAAACTCTCCAAAGGGGAGCTTGCCTGGCACAGAATTGGGGATTCCCAGCCCCCACATTCCCCCACCTTTCATCGTGAATCATATGCAACTTGATTCCCCCCAAGATTGAAGAGAAGACAACTTGCATAAGAACAGACACGCCCAAGAAAATAAATGAAATAATAATAACGGTGGTTTTCCTTGTGGCTTCCAGTTAAGACCCGCCAAAACAGGGATCCCCCTAAAAACACGCAAACACAAACACTTATTGTCTCGTAACACTTGGCGGTTTGGGTTGCTGGTTTAACGGTTTAATTTGACCTGTGGCTTTGCTAGAGGGTAAAAGGGCAACAGCACCCACCAACAACCATTCTGGAAATGTGGTGTGTCTTTTGGTTGTTTTTTTTGGGGACGGGTTTAACGGGAAACTGAATGGAAACCGTTGCCATTTTGGGCGTTGCCTTATAAGACACACCGCAGATTGAAGGGACCATGCAGGAGTTTGCTTTAAAATTGGGGTGGTTCCCTTAAATGCCCATGCGTTTGCACCATTAGAGAAACTCTCATATGGTTGGGGGTTCTTGTTTGAGTGCAAAAGCAGTTTGGTTTAGATTGGCTTTATTCCATCCAGGGCCATCGATGTTTACTGAAAGAAGACCTATTCTCCCATATGGTTGGGTGTTTGACCCATGCAACCACTATACAGCCACACCCGTATACAGCCACTATACAACCACTATACCACCACCTTATAATCATGACCACTACAACCACTGTTGCAACCACTATGTCATAAGCGCTATAGTCCACCAGGCAGTTTCCTAGAAGGTTCACGACGTAGATTTTACAATTGGGTGAACGATGGCACTATCCCCTGCCCCGTCTTAGTTTAGTCATCCTTTCACTTACTCACACCTACCTGAATTGTGTCATGCATTCTCAACCTGGTGTAAGAATTGTGGTTTGCCACCGTTGTTTTTGGCCGGTGGTTTGTTGGTGGGGAATCACGGCCCATCTTTACGTTGCTTTGAATTTTGGTCTGGGTCCCGCACCCTTTGTGATCGGAACTCATGTCCAAACCAGAAATGATGTGTCCCTCCTAAATCAGGGTGTTCCAACCTTTTGACAATTTCCAACAAAAGGTACCCTGAAGATCGACGCACCGATGTTGGTCAGAAGAAATGGGTGGGTCCGTTTTAATCTACCCCCCCCCCCCCCAAAAAAAAAAAATAAAAATAAGAAAAACAAAAAAGGATACCAACTCGAACAACGTCCATCTCACATATCTCACGAGGTACCGGGAGTTCATCGTCTACGACCGCCAGTGCTATCCCGAGTTCTGCGTCACCTACGAACGATGCCCCTAAGGCCTTGTGCTGGTTGCTATGGGTCCATGTTGGGCACCTATTTTTTACCCACAGCCATTTTGCTTCCTATGAGAATAAACAGATTCCTTTTGGTTTCACTTTAAAACCAACCGAAAGGGCTTCTCCCAACAAAAGGGCACATCCATGCCTCTTTTCAGGACATATGCGCAACATCAATCTGTTTGAAGGTATCTTTTTGAACATATGAACAACTGCGGACCTGCGTGATCGCGCTTGGCCGCACGTTTTTTGTGTTGTTTTTGTTTTTTCCCCCGCGGAGATATGATCATTGTTTGAATGCAAAGCATGATCTTCCTCGCTTGGTTTCAATTTCTCTCTCCCAGGTTCCTTTTCGAAAGCAACGGGTCCCGCTTGCGACACCATGCCATGTCGGGGTTCCGAAAATCCGCGGGTGGCTCGGTTCCTTCAGGAGTTGCTACCCTTTTTTTGGCTTAAAGCCGAAAGGAACGGGTACGATCCATTTCGCGGGGGGGAGGGATGGGGACAGGCGTTTCATGGTGGTTTTCCTGAGTTCCGAAGGACTTTAAAGTTCAGCCCGAACTGGTTGATTCTCACTGGGGGTGCCCTCATAGTTTCGTGGGGTCCAAGTCTTGAAAAAGGATACACATGCTGGCCGTTTCCTTTGGCCTGCCAGGCATCAGGCAGGAAACGCGACGACGCTTGAGCCACAAGCTGCAAGGATCTGCAAGGCGTTAAAATGAGTGCAGTGGGCCATGCTGGCCCCTGATTCTTATAAGCTCCTTGGTTCTTGACCCAGTTGCCCAGTGGTGCCTTGTTTTTTTTTGGGGGGGGGAGCGTTGCCCTTCCTTCCAGGAAAGATCCCTTTTGGTGGGAATCCCTTTCTTCCTGGGGATCCCCCTGGGGGGATATCCCCCTGGGGGGATATTCATTGATGGGCAACAACAGGGGTTCCAGAAGCCTGAGTCGCGGAACAAAGCGAGGCGGACAGACAATGTGGATGTTGATGTGTACATGAGCAAAGCTGTTTGCAAGTTTGACGAACCCGCAATCACTCAACCTCCCAGTCGCCCAGTGACTCTGGCAAAAGGGAACCTTTCTGGGTTGACTACTTTTAGTGGGGGTCATTTGTACCCCAGATGTAGGCCACAATCTGAATCTGACTTGCCCAAAGTGAATCCACCTTTTGACCATTTCGGTCCGTGTTTCGCGCTCCCTGAGTTGCTGGACGTTGGTCAGTTTTTGGGAAGACCGGCTTAGTGGAAGACCCATTCAGCTCTCGCCTTTCAACTCTACGTCCCCAGATTTGGTTCAAGCAGAAGGTATCCACCTTGCGACACGCCGCTGCTTTCCCGGCTCCCAGATCGCATGGCCCGGCAAACAGGTGACATGCCAAAATGTTCACGCCGCGCAGTGGGTTCCCCCACACCCACAGAGCAGCCCGACTTCCAACTCGAGCAAACACAGAGGCTTGAATGATTGAAATGGTCTTGTGGCGTCAATGAGCTGAAGTCGCTGTTGGCCCAAAGCAATTTGCAATCGTTTCTCCTCAAGTGGATCCCCTGGAGCGATCACTCCCCAAGTTCCTGGACGTAAGCAAAAAGGATCCAATGGTTCTCCGCAAACCTGCTGATGCAAAAAAACAAATGTTAGTACTCATTTAGCCCTTAGATGGTGGAGTGAGTTGTTTGGAATATCTTTTGGACCCCAAGCCGCCAGCCCGGAGCACAGCCACCGCCCGAAAGCTTCACTTCTGAGCCCGCCGGGCTGTCCGCCGGGCCGAACTGTCCGCGCCATGGGTCAGAGGAAGGCGGCCAAGTCCCGCGGCAGCGGGGTGGTGAACTACGTGGATCGAGACCAGGGCTCCAAGTCCGGACTTGGAGCCGAAGGGCTGTGGGGCTGTGGGGGGGGGGGCCAGTGGACCAAGAGGACTAGGCAATGTGGGCCACCATTTTTGGGGAGGTGTTCGGTGAATTCACCACCCATTCTGGAACCTATTTGAGTGGGGATTGGGATGTTCACTGATTTGTGTTTTCACCCATGGACTTGGGGGAGTGTGCCATCTATTTGCTCCAAGCTATCTCAGCCCTCAGCTGGCGTTGCTTCATTTTATGGAACCGAAGGCACTTGCCTTTTTCGGGGGCCCAGGCACTTCCAGTTTGCGGTCTAAAATGCCCCCCCCCCACCCCCCCATGATTGTAGCAGCACGAACCACTCCCTATTTAACGGGAACCCCGGATTAATAAGCCCCTGGTTTATTAACCGAGGAGTGTTTTCTTTTAGTGGGGGGTCAGACCACTTGTGAAAGGCAACACCAAGTTCCCCAAAGGCTTTCCCTTTTTCTTTGAGAGGGGTTTCTTGTCCTCTTTCCCACGGGTAAGCCCTAAAACCGGTTGTCCTTTTCCCATACTCCCCGCGTTTGGTTGTTGTTTGTCTGAGGCTACGGATGGATCCGATGCTCCGATTCCCAGTGGGGCATGGATGTGCTCCTCACAGAACTGGAGGCTGGGGAGATCTGGGGAGGGACACGTTTCCCCACCTGCGGTCTTCGATTCGCCAAGTTAGTAAGTTGTAACGGTAACCGCGCTCGGTTCTAAATCACTAAGTCACCCGAAGAGGGGTTAACAAATTGTTGTAAGGGGGTGGGAAAACACCAATTTGCTAGCCTCTCACTAATTATCTTGGCGAATCGCACCTCCGAGTATGAATCGGTTCCCCTTTCGGACCGGGTTTACGTGGGAATTTCCAACCCCAAAATTCGTAAGGATGGGGCCAGAATCTGCTTCGCAGCTGGTAGGTGGTTTCTTAGCCACAACTTTGCGAATCGGGTTCATTATACACCACTGGTGCGTTCGGTGGGTTGGATCTTTAGACTTTAGCCAATTGGGAAATCCACCCTTCAACCCCACAAAAGGTCCACACTTTTTGCAGATGGGGTCAACAGCAACCAAGTTTGGGGGTGCCAACGCATGGAGTCCGAAGATGACAATATGGATCCGCTTGATTTGTTTAATGTGTTTTATGAGTCTTATGTTCTGTTGGTGTTAAAGAATCTATTTGTCTACTGGAAATATGTGTGTGTGTTTTTGCATTTCCTTTTGTCAGGGGACTTACTTAGGTGTTCGATTCGCCAAGTTAGTAAGTTGTTGGTAGCCGTTCGGTTATAAGCCACGATATGTTGCCCGAAATGGTGTTAATCTTGCTATTAGGGGGTAAACAGCCCCAATTGGCCAACCACAGACGCTAGCTTGGCGAATCGAATATCCAAGTCGGTATGGGTCAAAGCTAAACCACCAACAGACCGCATATGTTTAACACACTGCCATGTCATTCACTTCCCAAGGTGTTTGCAGTTTTGGGAAGATTGCTTGAGTCCGATTTGTGTGAGTCCACTTATGTGGGTATGGCTCAAAATGAACCCAGCCCAAAACCAGCAGGTGTTGGTCCATGTTTCCACTTAGGGATCCATTTTGGGGTTACCCCATTTTTGACCAGCCATGTAAACCAATTCTCCAGGTTGCTTTACCCCATGCTTTACCCCCGATTTGGACCGTCCCGACGGACAGCCAGGGCCTCGATATGGGCGACTGGGTGCAGTTCGAGCTGCACCGCAGCGAGCGGGGGCCAGAGGCGCTGATCACGGCGAGTCGTTTCGCCCAGTTTTGAGGACCTAGTTGTGCCCAGCGAAGCCTTCATCCGGATCCAGAAGGTTTGTTTGTTTTTTTTGTTGTGTTTTTGACCAGCTGCAAGGGTTTTGCTTTTTGCAGATCCGCGGATAGCCCAGTTTTGAGTTGGTATCCTCTTTGCTTGTGGGTTGAAAGGGAAGCCAGGAAGACCACATATTGTGCAGACTTTTCTGAGGTATCCCTTTGTGGGTTTTGAAGGAAAGCCAAACTTTTGGGGTTTGAAGGAAAGCCAAAGTTTTGGGGTTTGAAGGGAATCCAAAAGGACCACCAAAGCAATGTTTGGGGAACCATATTTCGAGATAACCCTGTGGATTCCAGGTGTTTCGCCAGGGTAGTTGGTGCTGCGGATTCCGGACCCGTTGGACCCCCGTTAGCTCGGAGTTCACGTCAACCAACTGCTCTCGCGGTGGCTCCAACTCCTTAACCAGGGATGATTCCGTTTCTCGACTTTAAAAGAGTTTTGCCACCTAGGTCCTCCAGTAGTGCCCTTCTCTCCCTTTTTTGGGGGAGGGGTCCCCTAGTAAAATGGACTACAGCTACTGGAGGACCTAGCCACCCTTTGACAACAACATGGAAAATGGCTCGGACCTTATTTCACTACCAACCTGCTGCCCACAAACCACGGCCAAACGGTGAGGTGTCAATCCGAAATTCTTACAGCAGGTTGAGAGCACATGGCACAATCCCCGGCAGGTGTGAGTAAGTTAAAGAGATGACTAAGCTAAGATGGGCAGAGGATAGTTCCATATTTCACCCAACTGTACATCCAGGATGGACTATCGCGAACCTTCTCGGAATCTCCCTGGTGGATCACAGTACTTATGATATAGTGGTTGCATTAAGTGGTTGTATAGTCGCTTTATCATGTTTTATATGGGTGTGTCTTAAACTAGTGTTCCTTTTGGCGTTCCTTTTAAGCTACCCCAGAACGGGTACCCTCAAAAAATGACACCCCGTAATTCTTGTGATTGTATGTGGTATCGCGGAGATAGCTACAGAGTTGAGTCAACGCGGATGCTTGCGGCGTGTTGGCGGTTTCTTCCGCAGCTGGCGGAAGGGAGCCGTTCAGGGAGCGGTCTCCAAGTTTGCGTGCAAGGGAGCTAAGGAGCTGGGCCAAATTTCGGGCTTTATCCTGGGAAAATCCTTGGATGGTCCTTGGACAAGCCTTGGATAAGCTTGGGTAAGCCTTGGATAAGCCTTGGATAATCCTTTCAGGTCGTATTTTTTGGCTTATCGAGGGCTAGCCCCCCCCCCCCCCATAGCCCCATAGCCCCGCAGCCCCATAGCCCTCTTCAGGCGCGGCACGTGCAGCGGGACCGGCCGCAGCCGCCGCAGGCGCGCGGAACCGGAACCGGCGAAGAGGCGAAAGGAAGGCCATGGCAACATCAAGGAGGGGCAAACCGCAGGTTTTGGTCCATGCTTCTTTCCACTGTCCAGGGTTCCATTTTGGAATTCCGGTTTTTTGAGCCACAGCCATGTGTATACACTATGTAACATATAGAACATACATTCGTATACATACATACTGTAATTGCTATCATGTATATATATATATATATGAGGATTGACCAAACCCCTATGGCTTTTTTTTTGTAAGGACTGAATACAAAAGCATATTCGGTGTTACTGTGAAGGGACGAAATCCATTTCGCACCACTTTGAAACCATTGTTTGTTGGTATTTACACGGGAATCATCCTTCGGTGGTGCAGGATTTCGTCCATCCACAGTATGTATGTATATGCACTATATAACATATATAACCTATATGCATACACATATCTGATTGCTATCTATAATATATATATATATACATATACATAGAGAGATATAATGTATGTATGTGTATACCTGGACCCTTCATGTTACCCATAAAGAAATGGACACTTACGCATATTGGGGGGGCAATAACTCAGTTGCGTGGGTAGTTTGAGGGTCCGGATATATGTCAAATATGTACATACATACATACATACATACATACATACATACATACATACATACATACATACATGCGTACCTACATACATACATACATACATACATACATACATACATACATACATACATACATACATACATACATACATACATACATAAACCAATACAAATATTTGTATGTTACATCCTGGGGTTGATCAATATTCCATTCGGTCCCCAACAATTGGCAAAGTTTATTTTCCAGACAGCTTGTGTGTTGGAATAAACCTTTCCTGCAACTTCGAGCTCGCACATGTCTCCTCAACCATTCTCAGTGGCGCTTTGTGCTTAAGCGCGCACCTCGGAGGATTCTCACGCCCTTTTCATCGCCCCCTTCGACGTCACCTTGGAAATGGTCGCGGTCTTCCGGTTGTGAAACGGGGGCCCTGGGGTGGTTGCAATTGGGTTGGGATCTTCACACGGAATTGTTTTGGGGGTATCAAGGTCAGAAACCGGGGTTTGGTGTTTCACCTAACACTCAGGGTGGCGTTGAGGGAAACAAACAGAACCCGGATCGTTGAAGGTTAGTGGGGGATAGTCCTAACCAAAAGTAGGCACGACCTCGTCCTTGGACTCTTTGTTGGACTCTTTACAGGTCCAGCTACCCCAGCAGTGCCCTTCTCGGGATGACCATCAAAAAAAAACTTTTTTGGCAATCAACAGAAAACTTTCAGCCATCAACAAAAAACTTTTTTAGCAATCAAAAAAAACTTCCCACAATCTCACTCTGCTGCTTGTATATTCTGTTCTTTTGGTTGGCATTTGATTTTCTGGTTCCTTGAACACCCCGGGTCCCGTGGTCCTTTGGTCCCTTGGTCCTTTGGTCCCTTGGTCCTTTGGTCCCTTGGTCCTCTGGTCCCTTGGTCCTTTGGTCACCTTGGTCTTGATCCTTTGGTCTTTTGAGTTCCTCTCTGTTTGGCTTTTGCAGCTTTTTGTTGGGTTTATGCAGCTTTTGCGGCTTTGGCTTTTCGCATCCTCTGCATTACCAGCTTCTCTCAGGTGGCTTTTTGGCTTTGTGGCTTTTGGCGGCTTTCTGGCTTTGGCTTTTTGCATCCTCTGCTTTCCCAGTTGGTTATTGGCCGTGGCTTCCTGCATCCTCAGTTCCTCTTGCCCCCCTTTCAATTGAAATGCCACCCCTATTCAAATCATCACTTTTTCGATCATCATGGGGAGGCCAACCCCCCACTACTATGTAGATTTTTTGCCCTCATTGAATCATCACTTTTTCGATCGTCCCCCGCCCTAATTGAATCATCACTTTCTGGATCATCATGGGGGGGCTGCCGCCCCCCAACCCCCCCCCGCTACTTTTAGATGTTTGGCCACAACTTGAATGATCACTTTTTCGATCATCCTGGGGGGGGCTGCCGCCCCCCCCAACCCCCCGCTACTTTGTAGATTGTTTGCCCCCTCGCTTTTTTTTAAAATTCTTGCCCCTAATTGAATCATCTGTTTTTCGATCATCTGGGCGGGGGCTGCCGCCCCCCCCCAACCCCCGCCCCCCCGCTACTTTTTACATTTTTTACCCCTAATTGAATAGTCACTTGTTCGATCACCATTGGGGGGCTGCCCCCCCCCCCCCTACTTCCAGATTTTTTGCCCTGGTTGAATCATTATTTTCTTGATCATCGAGCTGCCCCCCCCCAAACCCCCCCTCTACTTTTAGATTTGTGGCCCCCAATTTGAATCATCACTTTTTCGATCGTCATGCGGTAGCCCCCCCCCCCCAACTTCCCCGCCACTTCAAGATGTTTTGCCCCTAATTGAATCATCACTTTCTGGATCATCATGGGGGGGGCTGCCGCCCCCCCAACCCCCCCGTTATTTTTAGATGTTTGGCCACAACTTGAATGATCACTTTTTCGATCATCGTGGGGGGGGCTGCCGCCCCCCCCAACCCCCCCGCTACTTTTTAGATTGTTTGCCCCCTCGCTGGTTTTTAGATTTCTTGCCCCCTAATTGAATCATCAGTTTTTCGATCATCATGGGGGGGGGGCTGCCGCCCCCCCAACCCCCCCGCTACTGATCCAGAAAGTGATGATTCAATTAGGGGCAAAAAATCGAAAAAGTGCGGGGGAAGTTGGACGGGGGGCTGCCGCATGACGATCGAATGATTGAATTAGGGGCAAAAAATCTAAGGGGCAGTTTTAGATTTTTGGCCTCCTCGCTGGTTATTTAGATTTCTTGCCCCTAGTTGAATCATAGTTTTTCGATCATCATGGGGGGGCTGCCGCCCCCCCCAACCCCCCCGCTACTTGTTAAATTGTTTACCCCTAATTGAATCATCACTTGTCCTCTACTTTTAGATTTGTGGTCATGCGGTAGCCCCACCCCCCCCCAACTTCCCCGCCACTTCAAGATGTTTTGCCCCTAATCGAATCATCACTTTCTGGATCATCATTGGGGGGGCTGCCGCCCCCCCAACCCCCCCGCTATTTTTAGATGTTTGGCCACAATTTGAATGCTCACTTTTTCGATCATCGTGGGGGGGGCTGCCGCCCCCCCCAACCCCCCCGCTACTTTTTAGATTTTTTGCCCCCTCGCTGGTTTTTAGATTTCTTGCCCCCTAATTGAATCATCAGTTTTTCGATCATCATGGGGGGGGGCTGCCGCCCCCCCAACCCCCCCGCTACTGATCCAGAAAGTGATGATTCAATTAGGGGCAAAAAATCGAAAAGTGCGGGGGAAGTTGGGCGGGGGGCTGCCGCATGACGATCGAATGATTCAATTAGGGGCAAACAATCTAAGGGGAAGTTTTAGATTTTTGGCCTCCTCGCTGGTTATTTAGATTTCTTGCCCCTAGTTGAATCATCAGTTTTTCGATCATCATGGGGGGGGACTTGTTCGATCACCATTGGGGGGCTCCCCCCCCCCCCTACTTCTCAGATTTTTTGCCCTAGTTGAATCATTATTTTCTTGATCATCGAGCTGCCCCCCCCCCAAACCCCCCCTCTACTTTTAGATTTGTGGCCCCCAATTTGAATCATCACTTTTTCGATCGTCATGCGGTAGCCCCCCCCCCCCCCAACTTCCCCGCCACTTCAAGATGTTTTGCCCCTAATTGAATCATCACTTTCTGGATCATCATGGGGGGGGCTGCCCCCCCAACCCCCCCGCTATTTTTAGATGTTTGGCCACAATTTGAATGCTCACTTTTTCGATCATCGTGGGGGGGCTGCCGCCCCCCCCAACCCCCCCGCTACTTTTTAGATTTTTTGCCCCCTCGCTGGTTTTTAGATTTCTTGCCCCCTAATTGAATCATCAGTTTTTCGATCATCATGGGGGGGGGCTGCCGCCCCCCCCAACCCCCCCGCTACTGATCCAGAAAGTGATGATTCAATTAGGGGCAAAAAATCGAAAAGTGCGGGGGAAGTTGGGCGGGGGGCTGCCGCATGACGATCGAATGATTCAATTAGGGGCAAAAAATCTAAGGGGAAGTTTTAGATTTTTGGCCTCCTCGCTGGTTATTTAGATTTCTTGCCCCTAGTTGAATCATCAGTTTTTCGATCATCATGGGGGGGGACTTGTTCGATCACCATTGGGGGGCTGCCCCCCCCCCCCTACTTCTCAGATTTTTTGCCCTAGTTGAATCATTATTTTCTTGATCATCGAGCTGCCCCCCCCCCCCCCAAACCCCCCCTCTACTTTTAGATTTGTGGCCCCCAATTTGAATCATCACTTTTTCGATCGTCATGCGGTAGCCCCCCCCCCCCCAACTTCCCCGCCACTTCGAGATGTTTTGCCCCTAATTGAATCATCACTTTCTGGATCATCATGGGGGGGGCTGCCGCCCCCCCAACCCCCCCGTTATTTTTAGATGTTTGGCCACAACTTGAATGATCACTTTTTCGATCATCGTGGGGGGGGCTGCCGCCCCCCCCAACCCCCCCGCTACTTTTTAGATTGTTTGCCCCCTCGCTGGTTTTTAGATTTCTTGCCCCCTAATTGAATCATCAGTTTTTCGATCATCATGGTGGGGGGCTGCCACCCCTCCCCCCCAACCCCCCCGCTACTCGCCCAGACCATCGCAAAAGAGTAACCCCGCAGCTACAGCACGTGTGATGAGACCGTGTCCGTGCGCGTGCACTGCGTGTTCCTTTTGATACACACGTTTCTCAGTAAATGCAGCCCTGAGTGCATTAAGTTTTTTCTTGATGGCTAAACAAGTGTTTTTTGATTGCTAAAAAAAGTTTCTTTTTGATTGTTGAAAACGTTTTTTTTTGATATCCTTCCCGCCCTTCTCTCCCAAGTTTTTGGGGGAGGGTTCCCTTGCTAAAACAGACTACAAAAAAGGGTACCTTTATTCTAACCTCTCTACTGGAGGACCTAGGTAATGAGAGCTATCGGTCTTTTGATTTGCCATGGCAGACTTCGTCAAGTGGAATTTGAACATCACAGCTGAGCACATGGACCCTTACCTCGTTACTGATGAGTTGTACGGCACTTTTGGAGATCAGCCGGGGTATTTTGGGTACACTCATGATTGTACCAAACGAAGCATGCTTTCAGAACACGGTTTTATCGGTTGGTGCGCAACGGAATTTGCGCATCCCCGAGCCGCATCCCCGAGTAAACCCGTTTGGGGGTGGAAGAGAATCTGGCATGGAAGGCCCACCGATCTGTGGCGGGGGGGCGGGGGGCGGGGTTCGCCAAGGCACCATTCTCTCTCGAGTTGGACTTTAGTCACTTGCAAAGTGATTCCATTTACCTGTATGCGTAACCAATGAACCCAACCTTGAAAAGAACCAAAAAGGACAGTTGGTTAGCTATTCCAATTGCGCTGAAAAAGCTTCCAGGACTTTCTCTGGATTTACACGCCCTCACACATTGTTTCACTGTGTTCCCATCCATGGTAAAACCCAGAGTAAAGGATCCCTGGGCACCTGCAACCATGCAAACCACTCGTATTTTATGAACTTGTTAAAAGCTTCAATCAAATCAAAAAATGTTTCGATAATAATGTTCCATATCTCCGTGAATATCTAAAAACACTGGATCCCACACGACCCTGACCACTCACTTCCTGAGTTCCTGGACTAGACAAGCTTGGGGAGACCATTTTAGCGGCGGATAAAAACTCCGGGGACTTTGTCTGGGCCATCCCATCGATGTCTTCGAACTGCTTTCGCCAGCCTGTGGTCGACCTCCTGGGCGAGGCCACGAGGCGGCGTGAAGCGAAATCTGTCGATTCCCTGGAAGAAGTCCGTGGATTTCTTGGCAGTTCCCAGCGAATCGCCCGGTTCCAGCAAAGTTTTGGGGTTGTTTTTCTACGTAGGTCCCCCAGCAGTGCCCTTCTCTCCCAAGTTTTTGGGGGAGGGTTCCCCTACCAAAATAGACTACAGAAAAAGTTGGTACCCTTATTCTAACCTCTCTACTGGAGGACCCAGTTTTAGTTGGTGACAGGTGGTGGGATGGTTATGAGCCCACCAGTTCAAAACGTTTAGCCAGCGGATCGATCCGAGGCCAGGCTGGATTCCACCAGTGCTTTTGCAGAATCGGAGAGAGGTTTTTTCCTGCACAAACACAGAAGCTTCTGCCTGTATAAGTGGCAGTCCAAAAACAAGGCAAAACAAGGCAAAACAGTGGCCTACATAAGATCCGTGAAACAGAATCTGCGTTCGTGTGAAACTTCAACCGTCTATCACGGAGGCCATGGACTGAAGAAACAGTGCCTGGATTGCTGATGTGACTGAAAGATGTTCTAAAAGGAAACCACTTTTTGGGAGGGTTGCCTCAGAAAACGACACGCCCAGAGTGGATGAGGGCCGAAAGACGTGATGATGGGAAAGAGTCACAGAATCCAGCAGCCGGATACTCTACGACAAGTTCACCAAATACCCATCGAACTAGGAGGTTTTGGCAACCAAATCCAGTAGGTTTCGGAAGCCATGCAAGGTGGAACTCCTCAGATCCAACTTAGTTCTGACAGGTGAAAACTAATTTTAGGCAGATTGTCGGAGAGCAAATGCCAACACCCCCGACATTGGCTGAAGAGTTTCCTTGATCTTGCTTCTGGCCGGCAAGTCAAGAAGTATGGAGAAATCTATAGTAGTTTAGGCTTGGCAGGGAACACTGCGCATGAGTGTGTCCATTTTTGAGGGGACCCCAGGTGGTTTAAAAGGGAGTTACGGTATAATAGTCTACCAGCCAGGTGTCATTTTGGGGTCCCCAAATTTGAGCCACATCACACCAGGTACTTCAAGTTCTAGGGGTTGGTTCCTTGTCCATTCGTTTCGACCATCCTTCTTTTCGAACAGCCGTTTTTTGTTGGCTTTCTGGAGGTTTTCCAAGAAGCATCCCTGGAAAGAAGGGAAATGGCAGGTACCCCGAAAATTCGACTTTTCCACCCGCCTGCACGTTTTTTTTCTGACCCGTTCGACCGGGTCAGACCCGGTCACAGCGCGGAGGCCGACCTCCCTGGACCCCCACGGCACCATCTCGCAGCTGCGGAAGAAGCGGGATCTGCGGGGCATGGCACTGGCCCCAACTCGAGAATCGAGCGGCCCAGGGGAAGGGTTCCGATTCAGTTGTTCAGTGGCACCCTTTTTCCGGTTTGTTTGTGGCTGCCCCACTAACAATGGTCTTCCCCAAAAATGGTTCCCTCTTTTTTCAGGGTCACTGAACAACTGAGAAACTCAAGCAAGAAAAAAACGCCCAAATGCTGTTTGCCTCTGCCCAGTGCCTTTTTTTTTGAACTTGGGTTGGGGAAGGGTTCCGATTGATTGAAACTCAACCAACAAGAAAAAAACATATAAGAACGCCATATAAGAAAACGCCATCTGTGTGGGTCCCATCTCTCACCTGTCAAAGACCATGTAATGTTGGTGGCAAGCGCAAAGTTTGGGTACTTTTGCCGGCAAATCCACGCAGGAAGTGAGAATAGTTTGAATGAGTACCATTGTGCCAACAGGGGGGTCTTTCTGCCACCTTTGGAAAATGATGTTGTTTGACCCCCAGTTCCCTCCTCAACGCCGAGCAGTTGGATCGAGGTGTATGGACAAAGTGTTTCAGGGATGCTCCCTTGCCTGTTCCAAGATGATCAAAACACGTGCTTCCATTTGCTTAAGAATAGATTAGATTTTGCCTCTGATTTTAAGGGGAATCTATCACTGCTGGAAACATGCTTTTTAGGGGGGCTTAAGCGAATGGAGGCAGTTGGGTAGAAAATTGGTGGGGTGTGCCGTTCTTTTCAGGGTTGCCGTGATACTTGCCCTGAGATGTTGAGCACTGGCTTTCGGCAAATTGAGACAGCTGACCCCAAGGGAACGACCCATACAAATTGGTTGTGGCAACCCATTATAGGGTGGATTTCTGTTGAGGGTCCAGGCAGTCATCTGCAAGGAGCCTCTGGGGAAGAACTTAGGTGTTCTTCTTTCGCGGCTTGGTTTCAGGCTTGTACTTGTGCTTTCTCCAACTCGACAGTGGCTCAAATCGCTAATCCGGGGTTTGCGCGGGAAAGTTCCTGGGTGCTGGATACAGACGGACTTACCACCATACTGTGGATAGACGAAATCCTGCAACACTTAGAAACCATGGAAAACCATTATTTGTTGGTATTTACATGGGAATCATCATTCCCGAGTATCTGATCGGCGGTGCGAATTGGATTTCGCAACCATCCACAGCAGTTGGAAAAACATTTGAGAGAGGATGCGGTTTTTGCGTGTTCCCCTGGTGCCAAACTAGAGACCCCATTTCCCCGAGCTGACTTCCGATCGGTATGCCTTCTGCTTCCGATCGGTGTCTTTTTTTCCGCTTAGAGTGGTTTAATTATAAGGGCCTCGTTTTTTTTAAGCCAGAATTGTTCAGTTCACCCCCCGCATTGGTTTGGAAGCCATAGCAATCCAAACCACAAAATTTCCACAAGTCTGCAATTTGCTTGAGAATATGTTTTATTTTCCTCGGTTGGTTTGAAACTAAATCTATCACTACCGGACATGTGTATTCTTCCCAGGGGACTTGAGCAAATGGAGCAAAGGGCAGATCCAAAGCACCAGTCCAAACCACCAATTAAGATATATTAAACATGAGCGGCCGATGGTGGCTGGTCTTTATTGGGGGAACCCCTTTTGGTTGGTTTTCAACGAAACAAAAGGCTGGGGTCTCCTTCAAAACTATGTTTGTAGTTTGGGGTGGACTCACTCTGAAGCATAATCATAGGCCAATGAAGCCGGGGGTCGCTGGATTGTCCCAAATACCAAAATTTAAAAGTTGATCGGTGTGTCCCTTGAAACGATCGCCGCTTGAGGCTCCAAACAGGGAAGTGGAAGCTGAAGTTTGGCCCTGCCGAGGCTCCCCGGGAGGTGAAGCAGGACCTCTTCCACGTGCCCACTCCCACGCAGCTCGGCGTGAAATTCGGCCGAGTGGGGTCGCAAAAAGGGACGCCTTGGGAGACGTTGAGGCTGATGATGAGTTTACTGATGTCGCACTCCCTGAGTGAACTTCAACTAGGTCCCCCAGTAGTGCCCTTTTACCCTCGCTTCCCCTACTAAAATAGACTACATAAGAAAAGGTACCCGTATTCCAACCTCTCTACTGGAGGACCTAGTTAAGCTTTTTGCGAAGACCATAGGCAACCGAAAGAGTTTGGACTTGTTTTGGCCACTCCACTCGATCGGAAGGGAGACTATGAAGCCGATGATGGGTTGACTGACTTTCGACATGGTTGGCATTGGTTTTCTGCACTCAGGTTACATCTATGGATGGAAAACCCCCTTTTCGACAATGTTTTGTCGGGGTCCTCAGAGGCGACACCTTTAGGTTCCACGCTCTTGAGCCAAGTTCACTGGATTTCCATGCAGAAGTCAGAAGATGACCTTTCGCGGCCCTGGCGATCGGCATGTTTCGACGGGCTTCACTGTGGTTTACCGCATGTTGGCAGAGCTCATGCGCCTTGCGCAAGATCAGTGGTCTTGCTGGATGTGATCGCAGTCGATAGACGGTCCTGAATCTGCGCGCCAGGCGTATTGCTGATGCTGGCCCCAGTCTGCTCGAGCTGGGTATTCATGAACCGGGGCACGACTCAACGGTCCAAGTATCACCCTGAGGGCGACGAGCGGCCTCTGTTCGTTCGGACGGGGAACAATATGATGAGCAGGATAGTGCTGCCCATGATTCTCGACATCGCGACGGGGGTCGTCTTTATGCTTGAGAACCCAGCGTCGAGCATCTTGTGTGGGTTCCACCGCTGTGGAACAAGCAGTCAGGATCTTGGCATCCAGCAAGTGTGCGCTTGCGAGCTATCTTTGTCCAAAGCAACCTTATGGACGGCTGCCCAGCAATAGTTCCCCCAGATCCGGTTGTGGCTGGGACAATGTAGAGTGGGGGCCTTGAATGGGAATCACAATTGCCACAATAGGATTACATCAATCACCCCCACCGGCAACAGCGAATATGTAAAGTTGTTTGTTTCAACAGGCATTTGATGTTTGGTATTGAATCACTTCCCGGATTTTCTCTATGGCTTAAGCGCCTGGCCTTAGGGATTTTTCAGGAAGGGGGCAAAACTTGAACTTTCAACGCGCCTTTGTTGATTCTAGGATGCCTTCTACCAGATTCTTAGCTTGGGAGCTGCCAGTGTTTGGAAGAAATGCGAGCGTCATGAGGCGCTTTGCTGGCGCATTGCTAGGAAAAGGATGGCTTTTGCCCAACAGCGCATAGGAGATCTATGAACAGTCCCTTTACTTTTGGGGACCCCCCACGAATCCGCCAAGTTCTACTTTATGCGGGGTCAACATCATGGCGCAGCGTTGTCTTTCCGGCTAGAGAAAGGTCACTGGTTTGTTTTGCAAAATGGAAGAACACAACACGGATGGCATATGTCATACCCGGCCGGTGGTTTGGAGTGGAAACCGCGAACAAGGCACCCCCCTGACTTTGAGGACCCACCACACGCGGGAGCTCAAGCGCGTCTTGTTGGGAAGACTGGCACAGACAGAACCTGGAAGTGATTTGAGAGGTGGATGTTTTGAGGGATGAGGCTTTTCAGATGAAGCACGTGTTTTGTTTGAAGGGTGGTAGAAGCAGTTTATGGCTGTAGCTACCTCACTAGGCGTGCTGCCCCAACAAGGATATTATGTTTTTGTTTCACAGAAGGGTCCTATTTTTAACATCGGTGAATCGAATGATTACAATTCATGTTTTTTTTTGTCGCCCCAATTCGGGGACTTTGAAGATCCCCTACCCCCGCAAAGTTCTCATTCAAAAGGGACACTTGGCAAAACCTTCCGCACATTGGTTGGCCCCCTGCTTTTCCCATGCCCGATTTTAGACCCCCTCAGCAGCTTGTTCTCCACGACCCCACGCGTCCTTTTTTAGGCTTTGTTTTTGTTGGTGGTTTCAAAGAGAAGCCAAAAGGAAAGCCGCCATTTTTTTTCTGGGGGGGTTAAGGGTTCACGTTTGGTGGTTTTCGGGTGGGGGGAGGTGGCCTATTCTCGAGGTTCGTCCCGCTCCCGGATGGCCGCGGCGCATTTGAGCAGGCTCGCCAGCGATCGGAGCGGATGGAGATTCTCGATCAAAACGTGTCTGTCCTTTTTTTAAGGGGACCCCCCCAAAGAAAAAAAACAAAAGAAGCGCGTTCTGGTTGTGCTTTTTTTTGAACCCAAAAAACGCAAAGCGTTCTGATTGTGCTTTTGGTTTCCTTTAAGAAACCATCCAAAGGGGGGGACCCCCAAACAAGGACACACCCAAATGGTGCAGATAATGACCCTAGAATGGCAAGGGCTTTCTTTGGCTTCCTTCAAATACATGTTCGAGAAACACCCATTTGAGCAAATTCCCTTCTTCAATCTACTTTCTGAGTAGGTATAGCCATGGTTATACTGAAGTTCGGGGGCGAACACCAGTACGTTCTCGCCGAGCTCGCTAAAAACCAGAATAAAAAACAGCGATTCCGCCCAAGTTGTCCCTTACGTGAGATTTGTTTAGCTTCGGTTTGTGAATTGTATGTATATTGAGCCAGCGCTTCTTCCATGTGGCTCTACAAGAAAACATGCCAACCGGAAAAAGGATCGGCCTTACAACTGGCAAGGCATTGTTTCCCTTGTTTCCTTTTAGCTTGTTTGTGCTTGTGTTCAATTCAAGGCTCTTTTTGTCTTTCCTCCTATGTTTCCCGCCTTTCTGTTGTTAATTTCTTGTGCTTGCAGCCCGTTCATTTCATTGCATGTTTGTTTCTTCCCTTCGATCCCCCTTTGCCCTTGCATTTCTTGGTTTACTTCTCAATGGGAAGCCAGGAATAACTCAACCAACCAAAAAAAGGATGACAACAACAAAACAGATAACATGATGCCCTTTGTTCTTTTTGGGAAGTGCTTCCAACCCAAAAAACTGCCCCTTCTTTTCCCTGGCCACTGGGCTCTTGGGAGAACAACACCTGCTCATATTCCACCAGGGGTGGCTCATTGGGGCGGATGGCTTGCCCTCCCCCGCGTTGCCATGGCACCTGACAGAGGGTCCCTTCCACTTCAGTTGCGTTTTACCTGGGTTGGTCGGAAAAAAAAAGGGGGGGACCACTGTTTCCCCTCCAAGGAACTCCCCTTCTGTGCCCTCCCAAAATCGACTCACCCCCCCCCCCAAGCCGACACAGCGATCGAAGACCGCGACGACCCCCGCAGCAGGACCCGGCGATTGCGGCGGCGGTGCGGCACATGCGGTCGCCCCCCTTGCGGCCCACCTCCGGGGAGGCGGTGGGTTGGACACCCGGGGTGGTTGGTTTCGCAGGTTTGGCTTGGTTGGGTTTTGGTTGGGACTTCAACTTTTTGCCAACTAATGGGGTTTCCACTAAACCACTAAAAGTTAAACTTTTAGCAGGGGAGCAGAACGCAACCGAGGCTTGGTTGGGTTTTGGTTGGGTTTGGGTCTTGGTTGGAGTTTTGGTGGATGGGTTTTGGCTTGGGAGGTTTGGATGGGTCTTGGGTTGGGTTGGTTTGGGTGTGGTGCGCTCGGTCGGGCCTTAGGGGAAGGCTGGCTTGAAATGGAGAGTGCGTCATCGGTTTCTGGGGTCTCCTTCTATAACTATTTTTGCATTTGAGGGTACACGGAGGACATATGGACCAGAGGTGGATGACACCGAGGGTATAGGTTTTGGTCGGTCTCAAGGCACCCTGCACGGTCGTTTTGTTGAGGATAGGTCTTTATTTGCAGGGTAGGTCTTCATTCCGGGATATTCCGGGTCCTACCTAGGAGCAGGGATGGCAGTTGAATTCCCTTAGGTAAGCCGACCCCTTGATTTCCCCCAGACATTCAACTAATTCAGGCTTCCCGCCATCGCAAGAAGCTCCCCGCTTCGAATGGGCGTCCCAGCTTCCTTGTGAAACATGAAGCAAGTAGTTTAAGGCTGTGGCTCAACAACAGGTACCACAATGGCACCTTGGGAAATGGAACCAAAGGCAAAAACCTGCGGGTTGCCCGTTCTTAAACCGGGGCTCGGCAGCGCGGTTGCCGCCTGAGGGAAGGCAGTTCTTTGGTCAGGTTCTAAATTGGGAGACACATATCAAAGTGCTGCATGTAAATGACCTCAAGATCATTGACCTTAGGTTTTCAGTTTGCTTTCGTTGGTTTAGTGGTTAAAGTTGGGTTTCCATGCAACCCACAAGTTCAAGACTTTCAGGGGATCAGAAAACGGGAAGATCTTTGAGACAATCCGAACCCCACGTCGCCAGGTGATCATGCAGCCCGGCAGACATCTTTCGAGCGGAGTTGCGATCGCCTCATCGAAGCCCGTCCAGCCCCAAAAGCGAAGCGGCCTTTCAACCGTTTGCGGCTTCCCGTCCAGCAGTATTTTTCCCACAAAGGTGACTTGTTTATTGCTTTCGGGTCGTTTGGGTGGACGCTATGGATGGTCCTGACAGTGTAGATTTTCTCTTGCTATGCCAAACCCCCATCACACATTTGGCAAAAGGAAGCCGGCTTAGCGAAACCAGTGGAGGTCCGTGCGTCAATGGCACACAGCCAAGCCGCCATATCTTTGAGCACCGCCGAAACGCTGTAGCCAAAGTTTCCTGAAAGACAGCGCAATGCTTGGGCGGGACACCCATCGAGCCCTTGATCCACGCCTCTCCCACAGGGAGGGACTTAAACCATTACCATCAAACGAGTATCTTCATGCTTCGGTGTTTCTCACCTTCAACACGCGTTGTTGCACATCCAGGTCTCTTTTGCGTAACGATTTGAGTTTTTGAGCTTCACTAAGCATGGATCAGAATCACATGGTTGTTTTTTGTTTAGGCGAGGGCAGAGGCTGAGCCAGTTTTGGAAGACGATTTTCCTCTTGGAAAGGCATGGTTGCTCGGCACTAGGCCATGTTGGGAGGGCAATCTTTGAGAAGTTTGCTGTAGCTTTCCCGAATGTTCCTAACGAAGCGGAACACTGCTGCCAACTGTTGTAGCCCTTGCATATCGCCAGGGTAACCACCCCCGTCAAAGGCTCCGAGCCTTTACACCTGTGCCTCGTGAGTGCGGCTTCTCACATCCAAGGAACGCGCTGAGGCACGGGGGCGAAACTGCATGTGTAGCTTTGCTGCAACGGGGCGGAAATGATATGGATTTGTCGGTCCTCCTAGGATTTCGCTTTTTGGCGTGAACGTTGCCATGTTGTGCGCCTGACAGGGAAATATGGGGAACCCTGGTTGTTTTCAATTTTAAGGGTGGAGGTTTGTTCGCGAATTTTCGGGGAGGGGGATGCGCTTGATTGTTTGATTGATTGTTTGCTTGCTTGCGTCCGTGCTGGCCTGCGTGTTCGTGTATTTCGTTGATTGCTTGCTTGTTTGCGTTCGTGCTTGCTTGCCTGTTTGTGCATATTACTTGCTTTCGTGCGTGCGTGCTTGTTTCCTTGTTTGTTTCCTTGTTTGCTTATTTGATTGTTAGCTTGTTGCTTGCCTGTTTGGTTGGTTGATTGTTTTTGTGTGCTTGTCTGCTTGGTTGGACGGTTTGGCGTGTTTGGGTTTGCTGGGGTGTGTATGTGTGTGTATGATTATGCGTGTTTGGTGTTTGTTTCTTTGTGTGTTTTGTTTTGTTTTTGCTGGTTCGTTTGTTTTGTTTGTTGCTGGCTGGTTTGCTGGTTTGATGGCTGGCTTTGGTCGTTTGTGCGTTTGTTGAATTTGCCCGCTTGTTGGTTCATTGGTGTCTCTTGTGTGTTTTTCCATTGGTGTGCTTGCTCTCCAATCAGCCGCCAATGTCAGCGAGCAGTCTAATTGAAAGTCGCCACTGAAAGAAAAAGCCACTCATTGAGCTCAAGCAACACTCCTTCTGAGCAAAGGGAAGTTGTCAGCTACGAGCTGTGGCGGTTAGGTCCATGAGCCCAACTTTTTGAATCAGCTAGGCCGCTAGGCCGTAGGGTTTGGGTCCCGAAAGTGGAATGGGACTGCCACTCATCTTGGCGCACACGTCAGTCTTGTGGTCCTAGAGACTCGCTTAGTGAGCCACCCGAAGCCTTTTTCGCCCCCTTTTTGGCCAGTCTGTGAGCCACCTTAGAACATACCTATAGGTCGAAAAGTGTTGTTCAAGCACCCTTGCGCAATTTCAGCCTTTGAGAGAGGTACCGAAATTATTTTGACCGCTTAGAGCCTGAGTGTACTCTGGAGTCAGACAAAGGTGTTGTCGAATGTTGAGAAATTACACCTTTTCGTGGCATCTGTCTTCATCCTTGAGCAGTCAGCGAATCAAATGTGACAAGCATTTAGCCCTCGACGACTCGACAATGCCCTTCTTATTTGAACCGTTCAAGTTTGTTGGCACGGCCCAGGATGGAACATTGGCAGGCTAGACCTCAGAAATCTCTAGGGGTTGATTCCCCATTCTTTTCAACCATCGTTCCAAAACCGGCCGTTTTCCTGGGTTTCCAGAGGTTTTCTAGAAAGAAGGATCCCTGGAAAGAATGGGGAAGGTACCCCTAGAAGATCCTCTGCCATCGAAATGTTGTTTGGGAGCTCGGGATGGTGCACCCCTTCGCGAACCTTGCTCAGCGAGAGCAGAACGCTGCGGGAGTGCGGTTGGTTTGTACGTTTCAAGTTTTCTGAAGTGTTTTTGTTCACATTGACTTACAAAACCAAAAAAAAGAGCGGACCGTTGTGAGCGTGTGTTTTTTTTCCCCCGTTTTTTTCACTGGTTGGGTGGAGATTCGAGTTGACCTAGGCTTGAATAGTGTGTGCCTACATGTCAACTGACTCGTACTCAAATTCGATTGGAAAGAAACTCCTGTGGAAATTCTATTTTGAAATAGCATAAAGTCGAGTCTAGATTCCAATATAACATCAACATGTATGATTGGATGATTTCCTTGTCACACTTATATTACCAATAATTGTGTTGTAGTCTACCCAATTCTAGCTGAAATCAAACAGAATTCAAGAGGCAAAGACTCCAATCTTAATATGTATATTTCAATTGGAACCATATATAATATGCTTATTCTATTTCAAAGCAAATGGTATTGCCAATCAGTAAACATGTAAACACAAATTATTCACCAATTTTGGGACCTCTGAGTGTTTTAAGTGTTAATTACAATTAGAAGTAAAGATTGAAAAGGGATAGGCTACATTCAGAATTGGTTTATTGTTAATTGTAATTCAAAACATCATTGTTCCAATTCCATTTAAATGTTTCACTGAATGCCTTTCCAATAGAATATTAGTTGCACATCAGTAAACATTTAAACACAAATTATTTTGCAGATTTGGGACCTCTGAGTTCTTCCTTACAAATTATGCTTAATATGATTATCAACTCTACTTAATGTCTGACTGAATTGAAGGCGGATTTACCAAAAAAAAAATCCACTCAGAGGAAACCATCTCTAGCTCACTGTACTTGAAAACACTTTCTTTTGCAAAGAGGCCGGAAACGAGAACATGCAACACAGGCAAAAAACGAGAACAAGTTGTGAACGAACAATTCCAAGACTAGCTCGGCTGTCCTGACTTCGGGGGGGTGCATAGTCTTGTTGTTTCTGTTTTCTTTTTTGCATTGAATGGGAAAGGTGTGAAAACTTCTGGGAAAACAAAAAGCAGCAACAACTGACTATGTCAGCACACATTTACTTTTGCATACCATCTCACATACTTTCATTTACTTTGAATTCTTCATAACTGCAAACATGAAAGCACGTTTAACCCCTTTTCATTCGAGCTTGCATGGCTTGGGGTGGCTTGGAGTGTCATAAGGAGCAACAACTGTCCTATCTTGGGGTCTAGTTGTGGTCGGGATTTCTCAAGTTTGGCTTTTGTGACAACACAGGTTCCCTGAGTTGGTTTGGCTAAGTCACCCAGTAGTGCCCTTTTACCAACTATTTTTGGGGGAGGGTTCTCCTACTAAAAT